AGACAACATAAAAATCGAAAGCTATAGTTACCGTGCCGGGAATTGAACCTGTCACCTCCAGACGGCGTCTGCGCCTCGCCATGAATACAAGTGCACTAAGAAACATGGTCAACTAGGCACCCCCCAAAAAAGGTGTCTCATTGGCCATGTCTATCGTACAGCTAGAAATCCACGACTATGGAATACGGACATAATTCATTTCAACCCATTGAAATGGCACCACAGGTTACAGAAATTTATATTAACAAAGCAAATGTCGAATAACAATCACAGCAACAATTTACGAACACAGTAGACCTTATTGCCTTGTCTAGAATACACAAACATTTAAGAAAGGTATTTGATTGGTAGGTTCCGATGTGTATACGTCATTCCTATAAATAAACAGAGGGGGGAACCATTTGGGGCCGTTAAATATTATGAATTAATCAAGTAACAAAAAGTATTGTGGACGGCACTCATAGAAAGAAGTAGAAAGATAGAAGAACACACTAGACAACATAAAAATCGAAAGCTATAGTTACCGTGCCGGGAATTGAGATGAAATAACATGTGTAAGAATCTGTGAAAGAGAAATTACTTGTGGATCGGGCAAGGAGGGGCGTATGAGTGGAAGAGAAGGGCGAGTTTTTAACCAGTGTGCTACGGGAACAGTTAGCATCTACACCAGACATTTGCTGCGGAAGACGGAGCGCCTATGAGTATGGCCGGTGTGCTATGATGCCGATGCTGTAATCAGTAAATCAGTAAGTAAAGGACGTGTTACATGCTAATAACGATGATGACGACGACGACAACAATGATGCCATTCTCCTACCGATTGCGCTCAACAATGAAACAGCAACGGTGCGTGAAAGAATTCACTAGCGACAGAAAACTGACACACCACATTTCTCCTTTGTCGCGCACAAATGAACACTGTAACTATTCAACCAATAATAGAAGCCAGAGCAGCGTGACAACTTCGACTGCGGAAGTGAATAAATTTATCGTTTGTTTTGACCATATTAGTTTAAAAAAAAAAAAAAAAACAATGTATAAACTGAAGGATTTTTTTCCCTGTTGCTTTCTTTGTTTCTTCTACTCTTCTTCTTTCTAGAGTTCACCGGCTGTAAACTGCGGCAAAAAGTTATGGTTGTTCATCCACTTCTGGCTTTCCGTCTTGGTGCAAAGCTTGAGTTTTACACGCACATTCGTTTTACAGATCTGGCTTATTTGTATGCAGGCTGTTGGGCCCTCACCTCTCAGGCAGATAATTCCAATGTCGAAGGAGACACATCTAATTTGTCACCTTTTTACGACATGCTTGCTGGGAGACAGTTGGTCTATTCTCCACTCCCCCAAAAATGGGGTCAAAAACTCACAAGGAGTAGTTTCCGTTGTTTTAATGCGTCACTTTGTCAATGACTGTTTTTGATGTGTGTATTTGTATGTGTAACTTTGCTGTTGTGGATTCCGCGTCCCATGAGGAGTGGAAGCTACGGTTTTTGTGCTTTGTGCGACGCTCTTGATAGGCGGCTTGTGGTTCCGCAGAGAAAGAGAAAGAGAGAGAGAGAGAGTGATGAAGAGAGAGAGAGAGAGTGATGAAGAGAGAGAGAGAGAGAGTGATGAAGAGAGAGAGAAAGAGAGAGAGTGGAAGAGAGAGAGTGATGAAGAGAGAGAGAGAGTGATGAAGAGAGAGAGAGAGAGTGATGAAGAGAGAGAGAAAGAGAAGAGTGGAAGATAGAGAGAGAGAGAGAGACCGAGCCTTACTGGATAAAACCCAGTGCAAAGAAATAGACCCTCTTTCGGACTGGCAGACTTATTGTTTTCATTAGTGGCAAATGTTGCTTCTGACGATGGTTATCTGTTGCGTTTCTTCTATATGTTGATTGAAAGAATAGGGGAGGGAGTGGGGAGGGGAGAGCTGAGTGGTTTCAAGGTATGGCATCCGCCTCAAGTGCTGGAGGTCCGGGGTTCAAAACCAGGTGAAGGCTGGGACTTTTTTCACGTGGACTTTATTTCCCCCTGGTCTCTGGGTATTAAGATCGGACGCCCGTGTGTATTGTCGCGCAGGTAAAAAATACCTTCAAAATAGGAAATCGAAAACAAGAGTAGCCTTACAGTGCTGCCCGGGAAAAATTTGAAGTTACAAATCTACCCAAAGTATTTCAGGATCCTTGCCGGGGCAACGGAGTTCGTGCACTGCTCTGAGGTTCTTCAGACTCAAGATTAAGTTAGAAATAGAACGGAGCATTTGTGGGTTGCACCAGTGTGTCATGGTGTTTATCCGTGAATAAACCAAACCCAAACATCTTCCATCTGTTCACTTTAGTTAACTAAAGCTCATAGTTGCCAGTGTGCCGGGTAATTATACAGCGAGTCTTGTTTTCCGTCATGTGGTCTCTGTATGATATGCCGAAGAAGGTCTTATTTCCAATGAGTTTAGCTTGTAATGTCCTCGTTTCACAGCCAAAATGTAAACGTACTAAAAACTATTGCTCCGAGCAATGGTAGCTTAGTTTTACATGAAATGTTTTTTAGCCCGGCTCTCTAGCGTAGTTGGCTAAACCGGATTGCGCGGAGACCGGGTGACGAACTCCTTGTGGTCCGGGTTCAATCCCGGGGGTAGGCAGGAAAGCCACATTTTCTCCCAGATTTACGGTATTTACAATGGAATCAAAGCCGCAAGGTTGCGATATCCATAATACAGAGCCTAAGGCTTCTGGATACTAAAACAAACAAACAAACATGAAATGTTTTTGGATCTCCATACTTGCAGTTTGACAAGGACTAATGCTGTTGATATAAAATTCTTCTTCTTTACGTCAATTTTACCGCTTCGGGTATCGAGGGAGATATTAGGTCCTGCTTAGTGCTCTACTGGCTGCTTCGACCATAGACACATCGTGGTGCTATAGAATTTATCTGATGTTATATTTTCATGTTGTTCTTGGTCTGCCTCTTGCTCTACGTCCCTATCCTCTTGTGGTATATGCCTTATATGGTATAGCATCAGAAGGCATTCTCTCCAAGTGGGCAAACCCTATGATTTGCTGTCTTTCTATGTTATTTAGAATTGGTTCTGAGTCGACTTGATCTGGTATGACCTAATTCCTGATTTTATCTCTTCTGGTTACTCTTACAGTCTTTCTCAGACACCTCTTATCCATGGTGGCTAATTTTCTCGATATGAGATTACCTAAGTTAAATTAATTAAATTCCCCGTGTCGGTTCGGGGGCCCTATTATAGGGAAAACAAGAACAGACCCACTGCATACCCAAAAGCATGTCGTAAGAGTCGACTAATCGGGAGCTTCCTTCGAAGTCGGAGTGCATCTGCCTGAGAGGCAATGAACCAACAGTCTGCATACAAGTTAGTCAGATCTGTAAAACGGATGCACATGCAACACTCAGGTTGTGAAATAGGAGGACTGCAGTCCAGAAGTGGACAAACAACCAGAACTTTCCGCTGGAGTTTACAGCCGGTGAGCTCGAAGAAAAAGTAGAAGAAATTAATTAAATGTGTGCTACTTCCAATATGGAGTTAGCTGCAGTGTACAAACTACTGTATCTCTTTTTCTGTCCTCTACTTCTGGAATGCCTCGCAGCGTTAAGAGAGGAAGAGACGCTGGGACGGGTCATTCTGCTCATTTTGTGTACAGTATTTTTCACTGTTTCCGATATTTCTACGGTCCATGTTCTGCATGGTCAACCTCTAGTTTGTTAAGTTTGCATCTGTAGCACATTACTTTTTGTGGGACCTTATCTTTGCTTATCTTGTATTTGGGAATATTACTTTTCTACGTTGCGACACTTGTAGCACTGTCTGAGGATTAGTAATGAAATATGAATACAGCCAGGACTTTTTTTAATGGTGGTACGCAGTACTAGCACCTTTTATTCAGGAATTTACTTTCAACGCTGCTGTAATAACTAAGTGGTGAGCACTGGAACCTATTTAAGACACTTTGTGTAGAGCTAAAAGTTTAGTTACAGGATATTGCAGAACAAACCATAGCATTTTGAGGTTGTTGTGAATTCTCCAGGCACATGTTACGTATAGTGCTTACTGAACGGCTGGCTCTCAATATCACTGTGCGAAACCAACGTAAGACGGTCTGCTGGCAAATCGACTGCAGCTAGGATCGAACTCGGCATCCCAAGCGCGTTTGTAACGTCTAAGCCACAGACTCTGACTTGTGGTGAGTACCGACGCCTATTAGGGGGGGGGGGGGAGGGGGAAGGGGGACCTCAACCCAGCAAACCATAGAAGTAGACTGTTTAAATGAAAATTCCAAGCTGAGTTCTGTACTCCGTATACCGTGGAGACCCCCCTTTTACTTCAAGCATGCATGCATTCAGGCTTACTATTTTCGTTCCTTAAGACTTCCGGTCTTTTCAGAAGTGTGACCCCATAGCCCGTTTAGGTCACTGTATCACGTCTGGGTCGTTTGGGACATAAATAAATCAAGAACGAGGGTCGCAACACATCTTGCACGATGCCGTATCACTCTCGACACTCTTAGCGGATATGCTGGATTAGCACAATCTGGCCAGAAGAAAGGGATTTGGTTTTTTTTCGTCATCGCTAATTTTTGAATGTCATCTGTGAAAGACGAAGTTCATGTGTCGGGTATTTATGTTTAAATAGGGTGTATTTCAGAAACCCGGAATATTGCCGTTGCTATTTTCTCTTTGTCTTTGTTTGGTAGGAAAAGTTTTGAGTTAACGAAAAAGGTTATCTTTTTATTGATTGAAAGTAGGAATTGGCCAGAGTCGTGTCAAAAGTGAAGTTTAGTATTTGAAAATGGAAGCTAAATGTAGACATGAAGTTTTGTATTTGAAAATAGAAGCTAACTGTAGACATGAAGTTTGGTATTTGAAAACAGAAGCTAAATGTAGACATGTGTGTTGTTTCTTGTAAACCACTGGAGACCCCTTTAGCTTTAACAGTCAGGGGCCACTGTGAAAAAGAAATATTAAACCGTTTTATTTTAGATTAGGTAGAGGGGTGAAAAATGACGTCTCCACACGTAAAATTTCTTGAACGAACGGATTCTCTCGAGTCTTTTGAAGGTATATTTGAGAACGATGAGGAGACTAACGACGACGATTTAGTGGATACACGTGACGAGCACTCAGAGACCGGGTCTTATAACGTGGCACCAGCGGAAGAACATGAACGAAGGTAAGTAATTACATGTACCGTGTCCACCCGAAACTAAGATGGGGTCTTATATTAATTTTTACTTAAAAAGGGCAGTAGGGCTTTTTTTCCGGTTGATGTCAATTTTTTAAAAAATCTTTTCAGATATAAAAATTTACATTTGTTTCGAATAGTCATTACATCATTGTCTTCTGGAACGGCGTCATAACTCCCCAAATCTCGAACAACGTTGAACCACTGGCCCCGTTCTCTCATGTCCATCAATAAAACTTTCCTTAAATGAGCATTTGTTATCCATTTAGATTGCTCGTAGTGCACTGGTAACACAGTAGACAATAATTTTATCTTTTTATCCTAATTCCGTTCATTATCACGTGCCAACCAGTGGCGTCGGTACTGCTACTGGCCATTCGGTAACAAGTCTCTTATTCTAGTTGAACATAACTCGGACTCATTTTTGGGATAGGTCTTTTTTTTAAAAGCATTCTCAAAAAAGATCCCCTAAATCTTGTCTTTGTGGGTCCGTTTTTTCTTTCCGGGAAACAGGATAAAAGTCTGTGTCAAAGTCTTGGTAAGATATTATTGAGCTGCCGCATAAAAGTAGTGGGTACTACCTGTTTTCTGTTAACCTTGGATATTGGGCTGTTGACATACTAGTGTACCTCCAAGGCAAGAACAGGGGCAAAACTGTAGAAGAATTTCAGAAGGAACTGGGACGCATAGCAGATTGGTGTCTAACCTCTAGTGTACAGATCAACCCTGCAAAAGTGACTGCAACTTGGTTTTCTTTAAACAATCAAATAATACATACATTAACAACTACTGTGTAGATGAATGGTGAAGAGATAGCAAGGACTAAACTTATAAAATACATGAGCGTGGGCTTTGATCGGAGCCTTAGCTGCAGATTCCAAATTGACAATATGATCAACAAGGCCAGAAAGGGCTTGGATGCAATACGAGTTATGACGGGCACGTTTGGTTAACAAAGTCTGCTGTTCATCCTTTATCAGGGTTCGATTCTCTCTGTCATAGAGTATGCACTGACAATCTTTACGCTTAGTAAGACACACACTGACAGACTAGAAAAGGTACAAAATGGAGCAATGCTCATCATACCTGGTTGCACTGAAGACACATCATGTAGAGCAATGAGATACCTACTAGATCTTCTATATATAAACAGCAGGATTGAAATGCGCCAAACGTGTGCTTACCTTAAAAACAACGAGGTCTTTGAACATCCACTGCACGATGAACTGAATACAGGTAAAGGCAACAGGCTTAAAAGACGCGAGTCAAAGTTGGGCCGTGCAGAGACAGTACTTCAGCGGGTGATTTCCCTTCAAGACTTGCAATCTCGTCATTCCCTTGTGGGATGCAATTTTCAGTTATTTTGAAGCCCCATCCTGGCTTTCGCCTGGGGCCCTAAATATAGCTGGGCCTAAAAAATGACCTAACGGCTGAACGGGATTTCCGGGATCTCTCACTGGTGATTCTCATCCGCATGGTGGAACTTTGTGTCACCGGGTGTTTTTCGCTTGTGTGATGTACTGGTGGGCTGAAACTTACATACATACATACTTTAAGTGATTTGACGCGTAAAATAGATAATGCAGAAGTGAAAGCATTGGTAGACGAACACGCGACACTGGAAGATTCTGTTATATATATATATATATATATATATATATATATATATATATATATATATATATATATATATATATATATATATTATATATACTACTTTCTTTCATCTACTTTACTATATTATTTCGTTATATTTTTTCGACGAAAAGGCAGAATGTCGAAATGGTCAAGCTGTTTACCTCCCGCTGTGAATGTCGTGGGGTTGTTTCATAGACGCGTTGTTCAGTTCTCAAGTGCACTTGTTACAGACATACCTAGGATCGTCACTGGAGCTACGGAATTTGTGCTCTGTACAATGAACTCGTCAGGCCGTTAGCGGAAAAAAAAACTGAGCAATGTGGGTTAAAACCCGGTTAAATAAAGTCGATAAAACCCATCATCCTATGTGTTGCTTAACGACTAGTAGCTTGGCCGTGTCAAGTCATAAAGTTCATTAAATTTCTTCATGTTTAATTCTGTCTCTTGATGGACTGTTACATTGACAATTTCATACATTTATAGTGGTTGCATTTTAGGTTGAGATACAATACACGGAATTGAGAAAAGTATGTCATGTCTCATAATCATCTTCACTGAGTTGGTTTTTCACAGAACGTCGCTCTCGTCATGGCACACATGAGAGTCATTCTGTCTCTAGTCAGTTATCCAGCCCTACGTACTTTAAAAGCTAATGCATCTTCCATGTCTCGTATCCACCTTCTCAGAGGTTTGCCTTTGTCTTGTTTTAAAAAAACTGCCATCCAGCCCTTTTCTTTCCAAGCCTTCATGACGTTCGACATATCCACAATTCTTCAGCTTTCGGGACAGGATGCTGTTAATGAGCCAAATCTCTTCGATGCTGACATCCTAAAGGATGGTGGTGTTTTTCCTCTTCTTGGTCAGTAAAGAGTATTTATACAGCACTTCAGTTCAAATCCGATTTTCTGTGGCTAAATAATTCCATGTCATTGGAGGATAGGAAAAGAATTCTCACAGACTCTATAGAGCCAGTTTTAACATACTGCTGTGAATCCTGAACAATTAATAAAAAAATTAAAAAAAAAACCCGAACAATATCTTGAGGCATCGGAAATGTGGTTTTACAGATGAATCATTATAATTCCTTGAACATGTGAGAAGAGCAATCCAGATGTTTTGAAAGAGGCGAGTGCTCGGAGACAAATTATCACTAACATCAGAAAAAGACAATCATCATTTTTTGGTCATGTTATGAGAAGAAGGAAAATAGAGCATGCTGTGACCACTGGAAAACATCTGTGAAAAGAGAGACAGAGAAATACAACCCGAGAAGATTCTTGAGGATCCTTTGTCTTGGCATGAAGTTGTGTCAACACATAAACTGATACACGCAGATTGGTATCGTAGATTGTGGAAAGGCATGATCGCCCACGCCAGTCGGCAAGGCTCTTGAAGATGATGATGTCAAGAGGAATAAATAAAACACGTGATGCTTGAGGGACACTGTTGGGTGGGGGTGGGGGATCTGGGCGTGGGATGGGGGATCTGGGCGTTGGGTGGGGGATCTGGGCGTGGGGTGGGGGATGTAGCGTGAGGAGGTGTTGGGGGTGGGGTAGGGGTGGGGGGTGTTGAAACTTCTCCCCTAAACTTGTAAGGGAGGCTAACCTGCCGCCGCGCCCTCCAAAGGTGTGTAAAAGTTCTCTTTAAAGTTTTTGTCAGCATAAATTATTGTGAATATTATATATTTGTTGTTACTGAGTACATTATTATTACCATACTATTGTTTTTGTTATTATTTCTTTTAAAATTCAGATTAAACCATTAAACCAGGTTTAGTTCACTTAACTCTTTGAGTCCCAGAGGGTTTAGCATCCCAGGCCCAATGGGTAGTAAAAAGAGACGTAAAATCGGCGCATCATGCGTTTACTGGGCTTCTAGGTAGGAACCTTTGAACGTATGATGCTCTCCTTGGGACTCAAAGAGTTAAGCGTCCGTCCCTGAAAACGTGTGAGGCCACCTCCCCGTATGTGTCAACGGCCCCTGTGACGTCTTGTTTCGTACTGAATGAATTAAATACTTCTCGTTGATGAAATATAACTATGTTCTCACACCCATTCTCTCATTTACAGATGTGACCCATCAACCCAAGGCGGAGACGCCACTGTTGAGACACCGTTACTAGAAGACAGGTATGTAACGATTAATTTTCTTCATTCTTCCTTGTCACGTTGTGCCATTATCTATCACATAGGGCGCGCAGTCTGTTTCTCAATTCTTCTTCTTCTGCGTTCATCCGAAGATGTTATTGCGTTGTGTCCGTTTACAGCATAGCTGCGATATTTGCACCTCACGGCCAACACATCTGACTTCTGTGGGCATTTGTTGACCTGGTTAGCTCTCCCGGTTGCTTTCTGGGGACATGGCAGTCTCACTGTTGTGTGGTCATCTTTATTTCCCAGGTCACAGGTGGTCCCCAATCCGGCTGGTCCAGAGAGGCCACATAATGCTGATCAGCCCTCATGAGAAGCCAGGGGCAGAACATGAGCATTCCCCGCCATCCAAGGAGGCTTCCACAAATGCAGAGCTAATACATGGAGCTCCGGTACTGGGCTCATCCAAGGAATCGTCATGTCCTGCTCATGACTGTTTAACCTTACTTCCATATATTGAACATCTCATACATCATGGGCTATCTCTTTTGTAGCCAACAGTATGCAGCCTGCAGACCTGGAATTTCATTTACCTACACCACAAAATAAGTACTTTGCTTCTTTTGCATGTTACAGATTTTAACTGCAGTGGACTTCCTCATCCATTATCGTTTTACGTGGTTTACGAGCTTGTTTCTCCGTTCCGTTTTATCCTGTGCAATCAACACAATCATGGGTGGAATCCAGGCCAGTACCTTTGGCTTCCCCCATCAACGTTCGTTTTAGGGTTTCTTCTGCGCGTCCTCGCTTCCTCGGTCACTTTATTTCCCATAACAGTGCCTGTTTGGTGACTCCCTGCTCGTTTCTTTTCAGCGCCATCTTCTTTGTTTTATAACCGGCGTTTCCCCAGGTATTTCTCTTTTTTGCAACACTCCTCTTAAATCTATCCCATTTTGTGTTCAACATTGTCCTCGGACATTTGTTTTCAAATGCATTTAACGTTCGTTCCATCCCTTTAGTTAATCATTTCCTTGTATAACAGTTTTCATATCTTGGTAGTGTGGTGTCCCAACTGGGGGGGGGGGGGGGGGGGGGGGGACAAAGGAAGAGATATACAGTCACACCTGAACAAAGCTACAGCTGATTTTGGAAGGATAAGGCAAATCTGGAAATCCAACAGTTACTGCAGAGGAACGAAACTTCGACTCTACAAGAGCATAAGTTGGCCAGTTCTTCTTTATGGAGCAGAATGCTGGTGAGAACCCCCCCCCCCCCCCCCCCCCCTCCCCCAACCTAAAAAAAAAAAAAAAGGATGCGCACAAGCTAGCCAACTTCCACAACACATGTCTACGTAATATTAACAACATTTTCTGGCCAAATACAATCTCAAACACTAAACTACTTCACGTTACAAACCAAGAAACTCTAGACAGTATCATAACCAAGAGAAGATGGAAATGGTTTGGAAGGAGGGACTTGCATACTTATTGCTGCAAGTTTATATTATCAACCCGGATGTATTTTACACAAGGTCGCATGCGCACCGAGTCGGGTTGTTTGAAAATGACTTTGGCTCCCAGTCGACGACGCCTAACATAGGTACCACGTTATATATATTGAGAAATAAAGGCGACCGTCGTGATAGTGACCTCATCTGCTATCGAGTGCTGATTGGTCTATACAAATTTGAATCTTGACGCTGTTTCTTCTTTGCGTTCACTGGCTGGCCAGCAAATAAGTAAATACATAAGTAAACAATACCAGTACAGTGATGACTCGGTATACGCTCGCTTTGGTATATGTTTAACTTGGCATACGTCGTGTCCAGAAGCGACGAAACCTTTGCTTGGTTTAGACCTTGGTTTGGAATACGACCCGCGTAATAGAACTTGATTTTGCAGAAAAGATCGCACTAATAAAGCGCAAACAAGCCGTGAAACATTATCTAGAATGACGAGACATTGTCACATTTCTGAAACGCCCCGAGGAAAAGGCAGAATCAAATTGCTTTGGACATATTTTTAGTAAAAGTCCAATCTGATGAGCCTCAACCAGGTCCAAGTGTGGAAAAGAGGCTGATGAGAGGGTAGGTAAGTGGTACCCCACCAGGACACCACAGAGGCGATGAACAGCCGGTGACACAAAGTGCCACCATGCGGATGAAGATCACCCATGGAGAGGTCCCGAAAATCGCGTTCAGTCGCTACGCCATATTTAAGACCCAGCTATATTTAGGGCCCCCGGCAAAAGCCAAGATGGGGCTTCTAAATACAAAATTGCATCCCACATGGGGACGACTATTACTGAGGCAGTTAAGAAAAAAAAAATTCATATTCCTGAAGTTTTAAAGGAAGAGGATTTTCCTTCCAAACAATAAAATTTCTTCCTCCTTTCTCAGTACCATCCTAGTATGCACTTAACAGTTCTCAGGAAGATAAAGTGAGGTTACACTGTCATTTATTTCATATAACTGATTTGGTATTGATGTATTTGTGTTTCAGGCCGTAAATAATTTATTTTATACAATCCCATCAATGCATTATATGGCAATAACATTAGTTTTTTCCCCTTCATGGGAACGGATTAATCATTAGGGGTTTATTTCTAATGGGAAAATTTGTAAAGAGGCGTATGCTCGAAGACAACTTATCACAAACATTAGAAAGAGACAGTCATCATTTTTTGGTCATGTTATGAGAAAAGGGGAAATGGAACTTGTTGTGACCACTGGAAAGATCTGTGGGAAAGAAAAAAAGACAGAGGAAGACAGCGTAAAAAGATTCTTGACAGTCTTTTCTCATGGCATGGAGGGGTGTCAACACACGAAGGGATATACGCAGATTGTGGAGAGGCATGATCGCCCACGCCAGTCGGCAAGGCACTTGATGATGCTGATACGTACTGTTTGGTCTAAAGATCACGAAGGCATTAAGTGCGCCTGCCGGGGTAGTACTGTAATATATAAAAAAGATACAAGTGACAAATAAAATAGTATATAACTGATTAGTCGAAAAAGAGGACTGCAAAGAAGAATCTAGAATGACATCAAACAATTGCCACACCTAAGTTATCATAAACTTGTTCAGCATGCAGAAAACAGAGAAAGATGGCGGGTTTTGTGTGTTAGTGCTTCACTCGATTCATTGTCACGATCCTAACGGGTCAAAAGTTATGCTACGTTACTAATAAACATGGCTTTGCTGCAAACAACTGTCTTCGCAAGGTCACTAAAGATGACAAGAAGAGGGTTTCGAATGCCAGCATTAGAGAGAAAGTTGAAATAAGACCATGTCTGGATTACACTGATAGACAAAGAATGAAATGATTCAGCCATGTAGTGAGAAAGCAACCCGACCAAACTGCATATGAGACTCTGTACAGCAGAACATATGGGTGGAAGGCGAGGAGAAGATCAAAATAGAGCGATAAATGGTGTTGCTAAAACCTGCAAAAAGATGCACAAATCCATCACCCAAGCCACCCGAGAAGCGCAAGACAAATGCATATCCACGACGATTAGATATAACCTGGTATCAGTGAGACGACAAACGAAGAAGAAGAAGACGAAGAAGAAGAAGAAGAAGACGACAAAGAAGAAGAAGTAGAGGAAGAAGAAGAAAAAGACGAAGAAGACACAAACAGCAGCATACCAAACTACGAGTAGTTACCAGAGACCAAACCAAATCCAATGTGTGGGTTACTTTCCACTTCTCGCGATCGAAACCCACTGCTGGCTACGTAGATTTTTTATCCTGGTATGGGGCGTCGCAGGTCGACCCAGCCTAAAATGGGTACCAGAATGTATGTCCTAGGGAAGTAAAGACGCCGGCGTAATGTTGACCAAATTACCCACCTAGTGCCGATGGTCTGTAAAAATGTGGGCGCTCTTCCCATTCACCCATTACGCCGAAAGGCGTGAACATCGATCTTTACTTTACTATGGAGATAAAGATTTTTAAATGTGTTGCACATTTTCTCAGCAGAGTCACGCCCGTTAAATACTTCACTCATAACCATTCTTTGAGAGGTTGGCTGCGCTGGTTCTTCGTACGTAACACATCCACACGTAAGTTTTACCTTTTCCCCCCATATTAAAAGTGTTCATGCTGATGTGAAAATAGCATAATAATAATAATAATAATAATAATTATAATAATAATAATAATAATCATTATCTAGATGCGCCTTGCCATTTTGTGTAGGTCAGCAGTTCCCAAATGTTCTCCACGGAGTCCTAAGGACACAAGAGGCACATTGGGCAGGAGTCTGCAAGAGGCGGTAGAGCTGGAGAGGGGCAGAATTTCTTTCAAGCGTGCCTTGATGGACACATTTTATAAATATGCTTCATGTTGATATATTTTTATGCATGTGTCTGTCAGTTCGCCTGTCTATCTGACCGTCCATCCATATGCCTGCAAAATCGCTTGTCTATCATCAACTTACTTATGTGTATATTTGCCAGCGACTGGTTTCTCTATATATCTGTTTGTGGACATATGGAAACGAACGAACTTTTTTTCCAAAGGGTCCCAAATTGGGCACGCAGGCCTGACTAACATTCGGTCCGTCCAGACAGCCATATTTGACACAGCAGTTGTAGTTTATCAATAAAGCATATTATGCTCATATGATAATATGCATATTATGAATATCAAGTAAAAAGAAAACATGGTGGTAAAATTCATGCATATGCATACTTACGCGCTCATATATACCCACATACACACGCCCACCCTCTCACTCACTCATTTACACACACATACATACACACCTTAGTATATATATATGTATATATATATATATATATATATATATATATATATATATATATATATATATATATATATATATATATATATACATATATATATATATACATAATACATACACATATACGTACACTCATAAACACACTCTCTCTCATTCACACATTTACACACATACATTACACTTACATTCATACATACATACACATACAGACGTACATACACATACACTTACATACACACATACATTAAGAAATTACATTGTGCTGTAATCAGTTAGTTCACCTGTGTTCTGAAACAGGATTAGCAGTGGCCATCTTTGACTTCACGCTGAAGATTCTCATCTGTGCCTCCTATGTTATCCGAGTTCATCTGGATGACATCAGTCAGTATGAATGGTGAGTACTTGGACACCTTGGTCACGGTAGGCCGATATTACTGCTACTACCACCACCACTACTACTGCTGCTGCTGCGCCTACTACTACTACCACCACCACCACAACCAGAACTACTACTACTACTACTGATGCTGCTGCTGCTGCTGCTGCTACTACTACTACTATTACTACTACTACTACTGGTGCTGTTGCTGCTACCACCTTTCGTTCTCTCTCTTTACCAACACACACAGAGACACACACACGCGCACATAACCGAGCCTGTTAAATTATTGTATGGAAAACTGAAAGGTCGCAACCACACACACACATACACATCCGACCCTGTTAATTAATACCTGTTCTGTCAAAATCAAAGATTATATCACCTACAGATAATTAAATTCTCTAGACTGAATCCGACATTCAGGATTTAATTATGTGTGTAGCGAACTAATAATTCCATTGACCTACATTAGTTCCTTACACCCAGTCTGCGACCCTCTGAAAATGAAGGTCGTTTGTTCTCTCACTTCCTGTTTATCCATTTCAAAACCCCATTGTTTTGGTCAGAGCTATGACTAGGGACAATTTGATACTTGCTCTTCTGCCCATTGTCACTTGCTAATCTGCGCCTTAAGTCTAAAAAATGTTTCCGTACTACAAAACGTTCCAGTTTTTCGAGCTCCAATAAAAGATAGCATGCAAAGCGGAGACAGGCGTTTAAAAAAAAGCGCCTCTCATTCATTCATGACAAACAGATGACTGGCATTAAAACGAGTAGGCCTCTTAGCTGACTCCACCCTTCCACCTTTTCCACCCCACCACAGAACATTTAAAAATAAAATGCTAAGCACCCCCACCCATAGCCATACATAGAAGGTTCCTCTTTAAGAATTTCTTAAACAAAATAATAAAAAACTTCATATAGTAAGAACAATGAAACATTTAAAAAAAAAAAAAAGAAAGAATTAGGTGAAAAAACAACCCCAGTACAAAGTATGTTACAGAACTATACAAAGTATGTAACGAAAAAAAAAAAAAAAAAGAAAACAAGGAAAACTAGACAAATTATGTTAAAAAAAACACATAATTTTTAAAACAACTGAAACCGCTAAGTAAAAAAGCTGAACAGTGAATGCTGAATTAAGAATAGACATCACAGTACTCAGCACACTCCCATAAGTGCCCCATCCCCATCTTCTGCAGTAAGTAAAGAGTTCTAATTCCGATGGTACCAGTAACTGATTGTACATCTGTCTGGCCCTTCCCCTGAGTATTGACTATCTGCCAGATCCCCAGGTAACTCCTCGCAGCGCAATTCTCTTAAGACTGTAATAATCTATCTGTGCCTCCTCAGCTAAACAGTGTTCAGTGTGGAGATTAGTACTGACATCACAGCACTCACTTGCAGTTCCGACTGTGCCAGCAGCAGTTTGATTGTATGTCCGTCTTGCTTTTTCTCCACGTGGTAGAATGTCGACCAGATCTCCTCGTCCCTTCTAGCTGTACCCTTCTCTCTAGACCATAGTGATCTATTTGTGTCATCGCTGTGTTCACTTGCTCCCTAAGGGCCTTGGCCACAGATAGCTTGTCATGTATGAATTCGCCATCCGCTGGTGCAGAACTAGCCAATTTGCTGCCTGTTCATTGCTTAATAATCATTCATGCCCCGGAGAAAATATCCAAAGCAAGCTAGCCACACGGATCTCTGAAGCGCTGCTCGCCACTCTACATCTAGCATGTCCCGAAGAAAACAGGACGATATAATCACCCTACCTCCACCTCCATTCTCAAACTAGATGTTATAGTATCATATACAAGACTGTGTTGTACTAAGTCCATCTGCTTTCGAAATGAAACCCTATGCACTTCTTCTGGTTTTAAAAACAAGGACATCTGCATAAAAAATTCCTCGTGTGGGTTCCGGGGCCCCATTGTGGGGGAAAATAAGAGAAACTGAAAGCCTCCTTTGAAGTCGAAGTGCATCTGCCCGAGCGGCAAAATACAACCAACTGCACATAAAAAAAAAAAAAACCCGTTAAAACGGATGTACACGCACAACTCAAGTCCTGGCAGGCACAACGCCAAAGTCCAAAATGGATGAACAGCCAGGACTTTCCACCGGAGCTTACGACCGGTAAACAAAGAAGAATAAGAAGAAGAGGTATAGATAATACCATCACATGGGTGGTTGTTTGTGGTACTGTTGCATGTCCTCTGCCGTAGGCGTCCACCAAGATTATTGGCCCACTCATACTTGAACAAATGTAAAACAAAAATAGTTAAAAGCTCAACAAAAAGGCTGAACAGGACAAGTAAAACACACACATAAACACACACGCACACACTCACACACCCACACACAAACACACCAACACCCCTCCCCCCACACACACAAGTAGGTCACTGCTGAACAAGGACTGTAAAAAGGCTTTAGAAAAAAAAAAGTAAATAAAATAGCTAACAGCCTGTTTTGGTTTGATCATCCACAGTAACGGCTTTCAGTGTGCAAGCGTGGACAACTCCAGTCAGACTGCAAGAGCTCTTATATTTGAAGAGCAGGAAGTCAACTGGTGAGTTTTTGTAGGACTATCAGAGGTGGCAGTTCTTGAGTTCTCGTTTTTTTTTCCTTCTTCAAATTTGGTGTGGAAACTTTATTGAATTATTCCAAATGAGGTTACATTTAATGTCATCACCCTGACCACCCGGTACTAGTTACCCAGAGCGCGTAGTCTAATGACCCATTGCGTTCTGTTCTGTGCAGTTCTTTCGATGTCATGGGTGGAATCCAGCCCAGCATCATTGGCCTTTTTCAGCTACCTTCGTTTTAGGGTTTCTTTTGGAAGTCTTCGTCCTCTCACATAAACTGGTTCCTATTTCAGTAACTGTTCAATAATTCTCTAGCCGCTTCTGCTCAGGATGTGCCCAGTATATTGTCATCTTTAGTTTAATTAAATCGAGGGTGACGATCAGTCACGTTTTCGCCGGGACAGTATCGTTGAGGGGGGGGGGGGGGGTCAGACCCACACAGTCCCACCGATATTCAACATCTGTTGGGACAATGAACGTTTTTTTTTCTCTTCCTATTATCGACCCGACTGTCTGGGCCTACTCATGAATTAGGTTTAGGTTTAAACAATGGATCAACATCATGGTTATGGTTATGTGCGTATCGTTTACAGGACGTTGCAGAACCAACCCCAGCAGCCCCTGGCTGTTGTGTGGCTTCTCTAGGCATATCTACGTCCAGTAGTTTACCATTGCTTACTGGACGGTCGGCCCACTGATACCACTGTCGAAACCAACGCAAGGAGCATGATCGAACCTAGCACCCCGCCATTACGAAGCGTTCGCGTCGACTTAGCTACAGAGCCGACCAACATCAAGGTAGTAATCCATAAGTACTCCGTTCTTCTTCTAACTCAAGCCCGAGTCCGAAGAGTCTCAGCGCAGTGCACGAACTCCGTAGCACTGGCGAGGATCCTAAAAAGACTTAAGATAGATTTTTAACTCCAGATTTCGCCCGGGATTTTTTAGATGCGCAATGCGCAACAATACACACTGGCTTCCGATCTTACTACCCAGAGACCAGGGGAAATTATTAGAAGTCTACGTAAAAAATCCGAGCCTTCACCGGGGCTTGAACCTGGGACCTCCAGCACTCGAGACGGACGCCATGTTTTAAGACTACTCAGCCCCGAACAACGATACTGTCCCGACTACATGGTCACTGTATCTATATATACAGTTATTGTGTAACACAAAAAATAATCCTGAAGTGTGCCTCTAAAGAACGGCGAAAAAGAAGTAGACTGAGAATATAACATCCAGATTTGGACAAACAGCAACTTGGATGAGAGACAGAAGTGTTAAAGTGCATTGCAGCCGGTCTTTACTGTGGGGAGGACACCTGATTTATTGATTGACAGTCAAGGTAAATTATCGCTGATGTGTTCTTAATAGCTTTTTTGTAATATGCCGTTTTCTGTCTGTCTGTCTGTCTGTCTGTCTGTCTGTCTGTCTGTCTGTCTGTCGGTCGGTCGGTCGGTCGGTCGGTAGGTCGGTCGGTCGGTCGGTCGGTCGGTCGGTCTGTCTGTCTGTCTGTCTGTCTGTCTGTCTGTCTGTCTGTCTGTCTGTCTGTCTGTCTGTCTGTCTGTCTGTCTGTCTGTCTGTCTGTCTGTCTGTCTGTCTGTCTGTCTGTCTGTCTGTCGGTCTGTCGATTAGTCGGTCTGTCTGTCGGTCTGTCGGTCGGTCGGTCGGTCGGTCGGTCGGTCGGTCGGTCGGTCGGTCGGTCGGTCGGTCGGTCGGTCGGTCTGTCTGTCTGTCTGTCTGTCTGTGTTCCTTTCTTTCTTTCTTTCTTTCTTTCTTTCTTATATGCTAAGACAGTGGTATGATTGTCCGGTAAATAACAAACAGCCAGCAAGTGCTGGAATGGGTTTCTGTAAAGGATATGCCTTTGCTATTACCGCCTGTATTTGACCACTTTTGCAGTGAAGGCGGTGGTGGAAAAAGGGAACAAATACTAATAACCATCATAACTAATTTTTGTGGCGACTGCCCTAGCCACGCGACCCTAAATCCTCAGGCTCATGATCACTTACCCTGTTCTAAAAAAAAAAAGTTGCGTGTCCTTTACAGGGTATTGCAGAACCAACCTTTTCATTTTATTTTTTTGGGTTGCTGTTGTGGTTTTCTAGGCAAAATTATGTTGAATAGTTTGCCATAGCACTGAAAGGCCGGCTCTCGATACGACTGTCAAAACTAATGCAAAGCGGTCTTCCCTTTTTCTCACCCCCCCCCCCCCCCAGTGGTGCATTTAGGCTGTAAAGAAGTTATTGTGTCTCCCCCAGGTATGTGCTCATGTGGGTACAGAGAAGTTGCCCTGTGTGGGTTGCTGAGATCTCCTTGGCGTTCATAGAACTGGTGAAAGCTCTGCTGATGGTGTACATTGCTACCAAGGTAGGTCTCACAGTTAGTTTTTGCAAATATCATCGTCATCATAGACATCTCTTCGATGTTTCCATCTTGACGCAGCAGAGAAATGTTTGAATGCACATGACAACATGAGCGATGTCAATTGGACTGTAGCCTTTAGTCAAGCCTCCGGTCAAACAGCTAGCAGACCAACGATTTAATCAACTAGTCAATCAACCAGTAAGACAACTACGAAATAAAAATTTGCTATCCAGAAAACCAATCAATCAGCCAACAAGTCATCTCACCAGACAAAAATTAAGTTTGCTAACCGATAAGCCAGCTAAACAGTTCTGTTAGCTAGCCGACCAATTAATCACTGAATAAAATCAACCAGCAGTAAACCAGCTAGAACAGCGGTTCTCAACCTGTGGGTCGCGATGCATATTTTTGGTCTAAGGACCCTTTAACAGGGGTCGCCAAATACCACCAGAAAGCACATATTCATTGAGGTTATTAAGTAGTAATGAAATTAATTGTATGTTTGGGGGTCGCCACAAGATAAGGAACTGTATGAAAGGGTCGCAACAAGATAAGAAACTGTATGAAAGGGTCGCCACAAGATAAGGAACTGCATGAAAGGGTCGCCACAAGATAAGAAACTGTATGAAAGGGTCGCCACAAGATAAGGAACTGTATAAAAGGGTCGCTACAAGATAAGGAACTGTATGAAAAGGTCGCCACAAGATAAGGAACTGTATGAAAGGGTCGCTACAAGATAAGGAACTGTATGAAAGGGTCGCCACAAGATAAGGAAATGTAGGAAAGGGTCGCAGCATTAGGAAGGTCGAGAACCACTGAGCTAGAGGGTAACAGACCAGCAAACCAGTATTCTAACCAGTTTTTTTTTTACGTATCCAGAAACCATGAGTTGTAAACCCTTTGGCTTGGTACTATGGATATCGCAACCCTTCGGCCTTGATTCCATTATCATCATCATCAGGTGCCTTGCCGACTGGCGTGGGCGATCATGCCTCTCCATATTCCGCGATCTCCTGCAGCATGTATCAGTTCGTGTGCCGACACACCTCCATGCCATGCAACAAGACTGTCAAGCATCTTCTCTCGTTGTCTTCCTCTATCCCTCCTTCCACAGATCTTTCCAGTGGTCACAACATGTTCTATTTTCCCTCTTCTCATAACATGGCCGAAAAATGATGACTGTCTCCTTCTGATGTCAGTGATAAGTTGTCTTCGGTCCCCCGCCTCTTTTAAAACCTCTTGGTTGCTCTTTTTGGCTGTCCAAGGTATTCTAAGCATTCTTCTGTAAAACCACATCTCTGAGGCCTCTAAAAATTGTTTGGCCTGCCTACCGATTGTCCAGGATTCACATCCATATGTTAAAACTGGATGTATGTAGCAAGCAAGAATTCTTTTTCTAACTCTCAATGACAAGGATATATTGCACAAGATGTTTTTCGTTTTATAAAATGCAGTTTTTGCCTGTCCAATTCTGTTTCTTATTTCAGTTATGCATCTTCCATCTGATGTTATCCATGTGCCCAGATACTTAAATTTCTGTACTTGTCTTAAAATAACACCATTGACTTTTATTACACATTTAGGAATAATTTGTTTCTTTGATACCACCATTACTTCTGTCTTCCCATTATTCAAACTGAGGCCCATTCTTCCACTTTCTAACACCACAATGTCTATCATTTCCTGTAATTCTTTCTGACTTGTTGCTATCAAGACTGTGTCATCAGCATAACGTAAATTGTTTATATTGTGCCCACCAACCACGATTCCGGGCATATCAATTAAAGATCTCATAATATATTCACTGTATATTGAAAACAAATCAGGTGAAAGTACACATCCTTGTCGTACGCCCCTCTTTATGCTTTGAAATGTATCTAAACAGTTGTTAATTCTTATAGCTGCTGTTTGCTGCCAATACATATTCTTTATTATTCTTAGGTCTTTCCCATCAATGTTTAATTTTTCTAACAGTTTGATTACTTCTTCATGCTTCACACAGTCAAATGCTTTTGTATAGCCTATGAAGCATAAGTACAAATCAGTCTTTACTTCTATAGCTCTTTCTGACAATGTCCTTAGGATGTATATGGCATTGTTTGTACCTTTTCCTTCTACAAATCCACTTTGTTCATCACTGATTTCTGGTTTAATTTTGTTTCTTATTCTTCTCATAATTATTCTCAGTAAAATCTTAGTCATGTGACTCATAAGACTTATTGTGCGATGGTCTTCACATTTTAAAGTGCCTGGTTTCTTCGGCAGAGCTATAAATATGGATTTTAAAAGGTCATTTGGAATATACCCACTGTTATAAATATCCTTTAAAAGTTTAGTTATTATTTCAATTCCAAAATTTCCCAGTGCTTCGATTTCTTCCAGTGAGATGTTGTCTGGCCCGGGTGCTTTTCCTTTCTTCATATGATGTATTGCATCCTCAACTTCTGCAGTCATTATTGGTGGACCATCATTGTTGGTCTGCAGTTCTACGTCTGGTCTATTATCATCATACAATTCCCCTATATACTCTGTTCATCTGTTAATTATATTACTATGTCCCATTAATAAGTCACCATCCTTTGATTTCAAACATCCAGTGCTGTTACGTGTCATCTTTCCTGTTAACATATTTATCTGTTGGTACATGGAATGTGAGTCTTTCCCGTGATTTTCCCCAATCTCTGTACACATTTGATTCAGCCAGGCTTCTTTAGCCACTTTGCACTTGTTCACTATTTCTTTTTGTATTCTAGAGTATTCTTCTTTATCATTCTTTTTCTTCCTTCTTTCATCCATCAACTGCAGAATTTCGGTTGACATCCATTTCTTTTTTGCAACTGTATGGGTTGGTGGGATTGTCTCTTTTGATGTCTGCTGAATTGACTCACGCAACATATTCCACTGTTCATCAACTGTTTGTATAATTTCCATTGCATTATACCGGTTTTGTACAGTGACGTTGTACTGTTCCTTAATTTCTTTATCCGTTCTAAGAATTCCTAAATTTAACTTGATGTTCTGTGGTGTTTTTCTAATGTTCTTTAGTTTTATTCTATTTTTTCCTACAACTGGAACATGGTCACTAAAGCAGTCTGCCCCTGGTCTAGTTTTTGCTCCAACTAAGCTGCTCTGAAATCTTCTTGAAATCAAAATATAATCAATCTGATTGCGGACATTATCACCAGGACTTTTCCAAGTCCACAATCTCTGAGGATGGTGTTTAAACCAGGTGTTACCTATTATCATGCTGCGCGACTCAGCCCATGCTATTAATCTGTCACCTCTCACATTCTTTTCTCCTAGTCCATATCCACCCGTTATTCCGTACACTTTTTCACGATTCCATTATAGGTACCGTTAATCTGGGAGAAATGTGGCTTTTCTGCCTACCCCCGGGAGTGAACCCGGACCACAAGGAGTTCGTCACCCGGCCGCCGCGAAAGTCAGGTTTAATCAACTTCGCTAGAGAGCCGGGCATTCTAACCCGTCAGTTGAGTCAGTTGACTGTCACACTTTCTAACTAATTCACTAATTCACTGTAACTCCTAATACACTAACGGGTCACACGCCAAGAGCTTCTTCTTCGTATAGTTCATGCCGTGTTGCGCTGGTTGTCATGACCATCCACAATCTTTTGTCTCGTTTCTTTCAATCAATTTTCACACAGATGATGTTCCATGCCATGATGTAAAACTGTCCAGCATCCTCTTCCTCACTTTCCCTCTGCCTCTTTCCCCCTCCAACTTTCCCACTGTCACGATGTACTCCAGTTCTCTCCTTCTCGGACATGCCCAAAGAATGTAGACTGTCTCCTTCTGATGTGGGTAGTCAGTTCTTATCGTAAATCAGTTTCTTTAAAGGCATCTTCATTACTATTGTATCTGTCAGTCATCTTCAATCAGGTGCCGTCTCCCCAGTGAAGGTTGCCTGCAATGGATCTCCAACAAGCTTTGTCTATCGTCCTGATCGTACACTCTCTTAGACTGCGGCTCGTCCATTTCTTGATGTTGTAATCCCACTCGTATCGTTGCCTACCTCTTGCTCTCTTGCCATCACTACAGAATGTAAAAGTGTGTTATGTCTTTTAATGTGGACAAAGTATTTCAATTGTCTCTTTTTTTTTCTGCCAGTAATTCTCTTTTTATATTTATAGCATTTCCAGAATCTCTGTATTTGTTGTTATTGTTTCCTTGAAATACGACCTAATCTCTTGTATACCCACATCTCCAGAGACGCAATACGATTTTCTAGTTGCTCGTTTATTGTCCACGTTTCTGCAACATATAGCAGGACTGAGTATACTTAACATTTGATGATTCTCATTTTTAGTGTGTTGTTTATCGCTCTAACTGTCGGTAACTTCGGTATCTTATTGTAGACAGTTTTAGCCATTGCTATTCTCTTTTTCATTTCGCCTCTTCCATCAATTGTTATTATGTGTCCTAGATAGGAAAAACTTGTTACTTATTCTAGTAGCTCTCCGTTTCCTCAGATGTTCATTGTTCTATGCTCTTTTCAATTGTTAATTATTATAGTTTTTATTTTTCGAATGGTAATGTCTAAACTATACTCTGTACTCCGCCTGTTGACTTGATCAACGATGCCTCGTTCTGTTTGTAACCTTGACGGACTAAATTTTGAATGTAGAAGATTATGAGGATGAAGGTGATGATCTTTTCTATGTCTATGTTATCTTCCTTTGGCAACTTTGTCTTTAACATTTGCATCGTTTCTCCCCAGGGACACAGAATGGAACAGGCACTGAGTTTAACTTTCATACTAGAACTCCTCTGTGGTTTCAACATGCTGATTACGGTGGGTGATTTACCTCAAATTTGGTTCAGAAATTGCTTGAAGTACGAGAATGTCAAAGTAAGAAAGATTAAGATTGTAGCTTCAAACTTTAAATGTAACCTGGAAGACTAACCCGGTCAACAAATGCCTGCAGAAGTCGGATGTGTGGGTCTAAATGCACAAATATGTTAGCAATGCCAAGGGCACAACGCAGTTACATCTTCAGATGAACTCTGAAGAAGAAATAGGATACTTGAATGTCACACAGCGAAGCAGAGCTGCTGAACCATGATTTATATTGGTCAAAACTTGTCTAACCTCTTTGAGGTCATTTTAGTGCAGGTTCTTAACCAGGAACTTGACCAATATAGAGACGAACAAAGTTTTCTTTAAAGTCGGAGTGCATCTGCACTAGAGGCGAGGACGCCAAATCCGCACACAAATAAGCCAATCTGTAAAGTCAATGTGCATGCAGAAGCCAAGTTCTGGAACAAGACTGGAGTCCAGAAGTGGATGAAAAATCAGAACTTGCTGCGGCCGAAGTTTACAACGAAGAAAAGAACAAAGAATTGAAAAAAAAAAAAGGTTAAGATCCAGTATATTAGTAAGATTTTGTGTATTGATTAAGTAGAATTCAGTATATTATTGTTTTTTTCTAGATTTAGTAGACTCTATTGATCATATAAATTTTACTGTGTTGGTCAGATCCAGTACACTGTGTTAAGCAGGTCAGGTGCACTTTGCTGATCATATTTGGTGCACAATTTGGTTAGATGCAGCAAGCTAACGTGACTTTATTAACAATGCATTTATTTTAAAATGCAAAAGAATGAACGCAACGATATCTGCAGAGGAAATGTATACAGCACGAAAATGGAAACACCATGAGACGGAAGATCATGAAAAATATGGACTGAAGCAGTCGATGATAGCCTAAGACTTCGCAAAATAACTACATACCAAGCAACTGTGCGAGCCCTAGCTCCACTGGTTGATTAAACTGGTTAACCTCACAGACACCGTCTGAAACCTTTAGCTAGTCAGGTTAAGGTCATTCTGGCAAGTCATAAGATAAGTAAGTAAACAACACTTTTTATGGCATGAAAAAAAAAAAGGAATCTTAGTGGTACAGATCAGATGCGTGTATTGACAAAAGAAGCAGCCGAAAAAATGACTAGATGGGCACATCTTATAAAAGCTTACTGTTACTTTCATTTATATTCAATGTAAGTCAATTAACAAACTTCATTTGTTGTTTCTTTCTTGAATTTAGCTGTGCCCAGGTCTCCAGAATTTATTTGTGCCTGTCTACCTAAACTCCTGGTTGGCCAGACTGGCATTAGAACGTATCTATGTAAGTTTGTAAAATAATTATGCAAATTTATTGAAAAGTTTACATGTATTTTTTAATATATATATATTTAAACATAAGTGTATTAAGAAGTTTATATGGGTTTATTGAGATGCTTTGTAAGGTAATCAAACGTTTATTTAAAAAAAAAAACCTGTTAGAAACGTCTGTTTTGACAAATGATTTTTTTTTTAAACTGACATGTAGTGAATAATTATATTTTGTAAGTCAGGATTTCCACACTGTTATTATTATTGATATAAAAATTATATATGATTTTTTTTAAAAGAACGATTTAATCTCTAGTTTCTGATAGAAACTTTTTTTTTTTTTAGTATAGTACATTAATTATTTGATGCATTTTGAATAAAAGCTAAAAGTTAATTTTTTTAAATTCATCTTAAAAAAAGGTCAAAAGTAGACCTCCCAACCCTCATAGGGCTTGGACAAAATGTGTTCTTAGTGTAAAATCTGAGTTATTTGAGAGATTCTGACGTCTGCATATTGTTACTTGGTATCTATGGACACTAGTCTGTAAACCCAAAGGTCTTGGGTTCAGATCAAATCTGCACTGAGGTGGATTTGTTCTTCCTCGCAGCTCATCCTGGCTTGCAGGTCGATCAGCTAAACACTGGTGCCAAGTTAGGACAGCCGGCAATGTGTTGACCACATAACCTGTTTGGGTACGAATCTAAAATCCAAAAACATGAGCTTAGCATTAAATGCCCGGTGCGTCATTTGCGTAAAAAGTGTTGTTTACTGACTTATCTTGTGACTTGCCAGAATGACCTTCACCTGACCAGCCAAAGGTTTCAGACGGTGTCTGTGAGGTTAACCAAGAAGATGGTGCTGCTGGTGATGAATATCGCGTGTTTAACGTTTACCACGTGAGTGTGTCTTGTTTCTCATTTCTATCCTTTCTTCTATCTATCCTTTCTTCGCCGCTGTTCTTCCTAACTTCTTTTCTTCCTTCCTTTATTCCATCCATGTTATCTATTTACAACTGCTATGAATAAATGAGTGAATCAAGAACTATTATCACTGCATTCGGAATATCCCCACTTGTGCTCCGTCTCCTTTCCCAGTTGCTACCAACAGTTACAGGGCTAATAGTACCAGCTGCAACCTGATTAAAAGTCCGCCTTTGTTTCCCCCTCAATGTTGAATATCTTTCAGGCCCTCTACTACTCACCCCTCTCCCGCGCTGAATTCGTCTTTCAGTGCATGGATTCAGAGTATATTCTATTGCACCATTAATTTGATCCCAGAGAGCATTTACTACGTCCGCTTTATCATAGACTCATCACCCAGAGGAGCGGCAGCAGCTAATCTTTCAATCTGCTTATTACCTCGCAAACTCGAATTTCCTGGACAGGAAACCAGTGACATGCTCCCGATCTAAGTTTTGTCAAATATTGCAAGCCACTCTGCGAGCAGGACGCCAGTTTCAACTTTCCGAAGCACACTCAGTGAGTTATTTATAATTACTACACATCAGGTTGTGATGCTCTCAAGTCATCTGAAAGCTGTCGTTACTGCTTCAACCTCCATTCTAATAATGGTTGTTGTAACGTTATACGCGAGTCTCTGTCTTCAAACCGTCAATTCACCTTTGCAATTGTCACGAGACGACCTCAGTGGTTCCAGAAGTTAAGTACTTGTAATAATTTCTTCTGGGTCTAAAGAGACATAATTATATTTACTCTGCCCTTTACCCAAATATTACTTTAAACCAAATTGATTTAAATGTTTTCAGTCCTTAGTCCAGACAAAGCAACTGCGCTATGTTTAATATTACATAACACTACGTAATACAGCCCGCTGGTCTACCTGAGAAAGTTCAGACCTGTGGATGTTATGTTTGATTGTAATGTGAGTGTCATAAATGTTATCTCCTGACCAGTCTGTAAGAGCCAGCAAAGGGGGAAATAACTTAGTATCACACCTGAGATTGGCTCTCCTGAACCGGACCTTAGTGTCATAAAGGTAGCATAACACAGACTGAGTGGGGCTTTTTGATCAGACTAGATCAGGGGAATTGAGTGGACTGGTAGAGGTTGTGGCGACGAGAGGCTGGAGTTCACACATGTCAGTGAAATTCTCGGGAGAACAGGTGTTTGCCAATTAGGAATGTTTGATCTTGGTCAAGCAGGAAACACAATGGCTTTACTGACCGTCTTTTAACACCTGCCAGTTAGATTCGTTGTAAACTAGATTGGGTCACTTAAGAATGTTTGCTCTAGGGATGTCAGTCCAGAATTGACTGACAAGCAACTTGTTAGCTAATTTGACCTGCTAGGTACTTCAGGGCGTGGCTTAGGTCATCTCCTGGAGGGTTGGGTAGAACCTAGTAATGGGAGGAGTTTAACCTTGCAGACAGATAGAGAGTATACTTCGAGCCTCTGGAGTTTATTGCATTCACATCGCAAACAAACACAGGTCGACGTAGAGGTAATTTTACGGTCTGATTCTGGTTTGGCGATTGATGGAAAGTTCCCAGCGCCCATGTGACGATCAGTCCATGAAGGAGACTACATTGTGTTAGACTCGGCCAGCTGGGAACGAGGTGGGGACGAGGTGGAGAATGAAGTGGAGACTAAACTGAAACAGGCAGAAAACAAGCAGGGAAGAAGCTGGAAGAGGAGGAAGAGCTTGACTTCACGCCTGTCAGAGGTTCTATGATAACTAGTTATGTCATAAATTGTTCATACGTTATCACCTTTATCACACCATTCTAATCCTAGGTGCTGTTTTCTCGCTGAAGCATCTCATCACTATCATAACATTAATCAGTCACTGTTTGTGTAAACACAACAAACTGGGAAATAGCATTTAAATGATTGTTAGTAAATAAAGCTGTAAGTCAAGTTTTATACTACATCGTTTGTTAAATTCCAAGTGTATTCAGTCTTACCTGTTTAACTAAACTGATAGATAGAATTACATTTGGTGGGAGCTCAAATAATATGATAATAATTCTTTAATTATTAATAATAATATCGGGAGAAGATGGGACGGAGGAGTCATTTGCCCTGTCTAATAATTCATTTAGTATAATGATATAGACATCTAAAACTCCTTTCCTTCTCTTGTGGGTACCAAGTGCAGCTAATGTTAATGTATTTAACGAGCCAATATGGCTGTTTTCTTGGATATTCAGGACTTTGTCTGAGAGCAACATAGCTCAGATTTTAGTTCGGTTAATCTGGTGGAGGGAATGTGTTGAGAGGAAAATCCCTACTCAACTTATAAAACACATAAACCCACTGCGTCACGTCACAGCAATCAAACCCCACCCGCTCTCCTTACCTCTCACTACAGACCCATCCGTGTACATAATTATTTCACTTAGATGATAATTTTTATTGACTAGCTCCTGCACTGTTAACTATTTCACCAGCTATACATCCCCAGCACTATCGGTCGAAGGTAACAATCACTCTATGCGAGGCTCTTTTGCTGGGCGACACAGTGATCTATTCTTCACAATGGGCTATTTTGTCATTAGTATAATCATTTCTAATTATGCTATTTCTAATTCTGCTTGTGCTATACAGTTGATATAAATGACGTTGGGAATTCCCATGTATCCTGAGTCCTCCAATGTAGCAGCTAACCCCGTTCCATCTTCATTCCTAGTAAAGGGCTACATGAAATAGCAAATACAGCTAAAGCATGGACGTGGTACTTTTACTTCTTCCTTTCAAGGTATAGTTTGAAATTACTGAAACAAGTTGAGATTCATTATATGTTCACTAGGGCTCATCTTCTATCTGTCTTTTTCTGTCGGAGCTACGAGTTCACGCATCCGTGCTGATACGATGTCTCCTCGCACGAGAGTCCAGCTTTTATAACATTTCAGCCAGCTGTTGCTCTGTTAACAAAACCAAACAACATAACATACCCACCTGTCCCTCCTCAGCATGTGCAGCATACAACACATCCAGCGAGCCAGTGCTGACAACCAGATCTCCTTGTTCGACTCCTTGTATTTCGTCATCGTGACTTTCTCCACTGTGGGCTTCGGTGACATCACCCCGGACATGTGGCTCAGCCGCCTCTTTATGATCATCATGATGTGCCTGGCGTTTGCAACTCTTCCCAGTCAGGTAAGGTACCTTAGTGAACTGCAGATTGGTTTATTGTCTATCTTGTGTGGGTGCCGTCGGCGTCTGTGACGAACGAGCTTCCTAATGCCGGGCTCGATCCCAGCTGCGGACTTTGCGCCTTGCGTTGGTTTCGACAGTGGTATCGAAAAGCCGACCGTCAAAAATGCAATGGCAAACTACTGTACGTAAATTTGCCTAGAAAAAACACAACAGCCAAAAAATGTTCGGGTTTGTTTTACAATATCCTGTAAAGGGTACGCAACTAACGTGTGTGTGTGTGTGCATGTGTGTGTGTGTGCATGTGTGTGTGTGTGGGTTGGTGGGTGCCGGGGCCTCATCGTAAGGGAGGAAGGGCGGGGGGGGGGGCGGCAGAGAGACTCACTGCCCATCTGACAAGTACGTCGTAGGAGTAAAATATTTAGGGGCGTTTTCTTCGGAGTCTTAGTGTCTCTGCCTAAGAGTCAAGGAACTAACTGTTTGCATACAAATAAGCCAGATCTGTAACACAGATGCGCACGCAGAGCTCAAGTTCTGCAACAAGACTTAAGTCCAGAAGTTTGTTTTGTTTGTTTATTTGTTTTAGTATCCAGAAGCCATGAGTTGTTAATCCTTAGGCTCGGTATTATGGATATTGCAACCTTTCGGCCTTGATTCCATTGTAAATTCCGTAAATCTGGGAGAAATGTGGCTTTTCTGCCTACCCCAGGGATTGAACCCGGACCACAAAGAGTTCGTCACCCGGTCTCCGCGCAATCCGGTTTAGCCAACTACGCTAGAGAGCCGGGCAAGTCCAGAAGTAAACAAACAAATTGAACTTTCTGTCCAAGTTTACAGCTGGCGAACGTGAATAAGTAGAAGAAGAAGAAGCAAAAGACGAAGAAGAAGAAGAAGAAGAAGAAGAAGAAGAAGAAGAAGAAGAAGAAGAAGAAGAAGAAGAAGAAGAAGAAGAAGAAGAAGAAGAAGAAGAAGAAGAAGAAGAAGAAGAAGAAGAAAAAAAAGAAATTTATTTTTCCTATCTCCGAAAAGACATGTATTAACAGTTTTGAGAACATGACCAACAGACTCAGAAGCCATACACACACACAAACAAATATATACATGGTTTATATGTTTATATGGTTTAGATGGTTTAGATATTTTAGATGGTTAATATGGTTTAAATGGGTTAGCAATTTTAGTTGGTTTAGATATTTTAGATGGTTTAGATGGTTTAGACGACGGATCAACAACATAGGACTAGGGCAGTAACTCATAAGTGCTCCGTTTTATTTTTTACTCAAGCCTGAGTCCGAAGAAACTCAGCGCAGTGAACGAACTCCGTAGCACCGGTGACGATCCTGAAATACTTTGGGTAGATTTTTAAATGCTAGCCTTGTTTGTTACTATGTTGCCAGTGGTACTTAAACACAAGATAACAGTTAAAAAAATCTTTTCAGATACAAGGAATGATCACTATCTACAGAGAGAGGGAGAAGGCAGGAGGGGAGTACAGTAAATGGTTCACAAATAAGAAGCACGTGATAGTCTGTGCCAGCTCCATGACCCAGGAAACCATGATGGACTTCCTCAATGAGTTTTATATTTATCCCAGGCTGGAGGTGAGTTTGTGTGTATCTTCTTCTGTCTTTCGTCTCTCACATGATAAACACACTGACAAAACGAACTCACAGAGCATGCTTTGGAAAATTTAAACTGGCATCCTGCATGTAGACTGGCTTGCATCTCTTGATACGACTCAAATGAGAAGCATATCATAGATTTTATTTCCATGCTATTCAGGTCTGCGAGGTAACGAGCAGGCTGATAGATTAGCTGACGTCGCTCCTCTTGGCGGTGAGCTACTTTATGATAAAGCCGTTATGGTGAAGGCTTTGTGGGATAACATGGACAGCGCAATGGAACAAACAGAGAATCCTTACACTGAAAGACTATTTCAGTTGGATGTCTGTAGAGGTTCTGCAAGATGTTCTTTACTGAGGGGAAACAGCGGTGGACTTTTAATCTGGTTGCAACTGGTACCGTTGGCATGTTGACTCTTCGTTGGCTTTTGAAGATATGGATGAAGCACATGTGAGAATATTTTGAGTAGAGCGAAGTAAATTCCTGATTCATTCACTCAAACTGACACTCATAAGAAGAAAATAAAGAGTTAGAATGATAAGCTAGACCTTATATAAAAATAGAAAGCTATGTATATAATGCATGGAATTGAACCGGTCACCTCAAATCTAGATTCCCTTTAAAATGTTGTCCTCGTTAGCTATTTGTTTCCGTGACAAGTATTGAGCTAAGTCAAGAACCGACATCACAGTACTCGAGACATACCTAGGTGCACTACGTCCTCATCTTCAGCAGCCAGTGAAGAGTACCAGTTCCAATGGTACCAGTAGCAGTCTGATTACATAACGAATTACCTCTCATCCGAGTGCAGAGTGTCTGCCAGATCCCCTGGTCATTGCCCGCCACACCGTCATCTCTACATCTCTACAACGATTTATTCATACTTCCACATTGTTAAATTACTCCCAAAGAGCATTGCCCAAATCTAGTGTGTACTGGTTGGCATTCATAGATGCAAAGGAAAGAAACAGTAAAACGAGATAGCTTCAGAAAGTCCATGAAATTCGTGTATAGTAAAGAAATAAGTAACAATGCAATTTTTTAGACTATATATCTTTCAAAATAGTTCTCTTCTGTAACTGCATACTTTACCCAAAGTTGATACCCTTGTTGGAAACATTCCTATAATCCACTCTGATACCTCTTTCAGCTGCTTTGTAGAGTTGGTGATAACACCCTCAGCTTCCTTGAATCGCTGTCTAATTATTGCCAATTTTAGGCCAAAAGAACAAGATTTTTAAAACATCAGCTGGTGCCAGGTCAGGAGAAAAGATAGGATGCTCCAAGGCCGTTTTATTATGTCTTGTGACAGCGTATTGTCATTCAGCAGAAACCAAATCTCTGTTCTCTATCGTCAACACTAATATGATCTTTGCAGGAATGCTTGTGCTACTCAAAAACTTTAGTTCTTCACTGCGGTATAACAATATGTTTTATTAAGCAATCTCCTCTCTCTGATGGTATCTTCTCAAGCAAAACACATTTGGCAGTTGTGCAATGTTCAACCAAGGACATTTTCAACTCTGACGATACGACGTGCAGAAGACACCAACTTCTGCAGGCTGGTTACGCAGACAGTGGACTGAGTCATTGCAAAACTCTCTGATGTGTGCAGTTGTTACCTTCATATTTGTCCCAGGGAATGCAGGTGTTGCTAGTAATGAAAGAGCTAATAGATTGGCATGCACCGCATTAATTGAAGATGGCTGGCCCATGGATCACGCAGACATTTTCAATGCCCTTAGAGAGATAGGGCGTTTCGAGGATTTTGGAAACAACGTGTCGACATCACTGCTAAGAATACTAAAATTGGGAGTAAAGATTGGCACAGCCAAGCATAAAAAGCACACCGGGGGCACACGAAGTCTTGTATACCAGCATAGGACTGGCACTATTTACCGCGTGACACTGATGAATATGTTGAGGGGGAATCTGAGCACCAATGGATGTGTCCGGAGTGCTGAGAAGATAATCCAACTCATAACTCAAACTTCTGCGACTTCTGTTCGAGAAGAAATGTGAAGATCAAACGTTCTATCTGGTTTCGTTATAATAACAATCAACTTATAAAACTGTAATCTTCATGTCATGATTACTAATTCAAACATGAGTCAACAATTCAGGAACGTTTTTAGGCAACATCGTAGAAGACGCATTAAACAACTTAGACATCGAAAGCTTTACTTAGGTAACAGGGATTTAACAAAAAATACACTGTCAGATCACAAGAACGCCTTGGTGCAGACTGTACAGTATCCTTCTACTCATAGCCAACTACACACAAATAATACAAGAATAATCATTAGCTACGTCTTTCATACGGCTCAACAAACACCATTAACCATTAATAAAGACATTCTTACAAGCGACTAGCCACGACCGGCTCAAGCTGACGAGCCGTGCTGCTGACGTCACCTGGTCGGGCTAACGACGCGTTAACACAGCGGTTCTCAAACAAGAAATAAACTATTTTCGACAGTGGCGAGGAAAGACAACTTACATTTTAACTTTTAAGTATCTACCTGCCTTCTTTAATAATTTCACAATTTTTAGCCGACTTTTCTTGATTATTGCCGTGACACCCCTGACATACGCTCACGGCATCCCAGGGCACCTCGTTACCCAGTTTGAGAAACGCTGCGTTAATGCATCGTTAGCCCGACCCGGTGAGGTCAGCAGCACGGCCCGTCAGCTAGAGCCGGTCGTGGACTAGCTGTCCAAGAAACCATAATTTAACGCATTGTTTTATTGGTTTTCCCAATGTAAACATTTACAATTGTTTTTCTGAATAAAGAAACCAGTACTTTAACCACTGTACCATTAGCGCTTGTTTTCCAAATAAAAAAAAAAATTTTACCTTCTAAAAAAGCTGTCCAAGAAAGCATAAATTAACGCATTGTTTCATTTGTTTTCCCAATTTAAACATTTACAATTGTTTTTCTGAAAAAAAGAAACGATTGCTTTACCCACTGTATCATTCGCGCTTATTTTCCCAATTTTAACAAATTTTTACCTTCCCAAATGCTCCCAATATAAGCCTAAAATGAAAAAAATTATTTGAAACACTGTAACATGGCAACTTGTTTTCCCGACAGGAGAGGACAGTAATCATCCTTTGTTGTCAGGAGCTGGACAGCAGCAAACGGGTGATCACCACGGACCCACGCTGGTCGGAGAACGTCATCTACATGAAAGGGTCAGCGCTGAAACACATGGACCTCAGCCGTTGCCACGCCCAGCAAGCATATGCCGCCTTCTTTCTTCCGCCCCGACCTACGAAAAACAAGGCTCTGGCAGTAAGTCGTGAAACGATCTGCACTAACGAAAGGAAGCAGAAAACAAGCACGCACGTGCGTGCGCTCGCCGGCGTTTGCACACACACACAAACACACACACACACACAAAAACATCTAATTACACACACACATACCTAATCAGACAGACACATAGTCACATACACCGTCTCACAAACACACACACATTCACCTAATCACCCACACACATACACCTAATCATTCATACACACATAATCACACACAGTCAAACATGAACACACCCAATCACGAATGCCTACTCATACACACATACCTACTCATACACACATACCTACTCATACACACATACACATAATCACAAACACACACACAATCAAACACAATCACACACACCTAATCACACAAACACATTTAATCACACACGCACACACACACACACACACACACACACACTCACCTAATAATAAGCATACCTAATCACACACATACACATCTAATCACACACACATCTAAACAGTCAAACCAAAAAGGTTTTCCTGAATGAAATTCGTTTAAGAATGGCAGAACAATTTTGAGAAGTGTGAACAGTCAGTGTACAGTGTACAGTGTACATAATGTGACCGGGGGGGGGGGGGGGGCAGTTTTCATAAAGCAAGGCAGCTGCTGACCTCCACAATGCTGGACACAGGACATTGATGATGCAATGGTTATGAAAGACGGCTGGAGAATTGGCTGGAGAACGAGAGACTCTCAGGCTTGTCGTAAAAAGAGCGACGTTCTGTAAAGGACATGCTTTTTGATTGACTGTGCAGTCCTTGGGATACTACATTTGAGAAGATTAGGATTTTAGACCAGTCAAAGTGCCAATTAGTGCCTTCATTATACCACTTTTGCGGTGTAACAAAAAAAAAGGGCCAGATCTTTGAGCCCGAGAATTTACGGTCGCATGGGTAGTGCTGTCGCTACGGACTGCGCAGGTGAGGTATTTATTTTTCACCCGACAGAAACAAATCGCCAGCCTTACTGAGAATTCGAACCCGGGTCTCCAGCTTGAGAGCTGAGTGTTCTAACCGTTCGGCCAGCCGCTCCTCTTCAGACCAGCAGGTAAGTAAATAAAGGAAACAACCCTTTTCACGCCACTGGCAGACTGGGTATATGATACTATATACACCGATCCCCTCTCGATGGTTGAAATGGTCAACAGCATGCAGACCCCCTTTTCTTCTCAGAACAGTGCCTTTTACCCATTTTAGGCTGGCCCAACCTGTGAGCTACCATCCTTTGTTGTGTCGTGTCCGCTTTGTGTGTATTGGAACCAAAGACATTTGGGCCAGACGGTAAGTGTCTAAACCAGGGCTATGCAACTCACGGCCCACGGGCACAATGTAGCAGAGGCCTAGCAATTGGCCCGCAGAAGTCTCGCAGGCGATCATTGTCATTTGTATTGTATTAATCTTCTTTCTAGGTCTCTGGTCAGTGACGATCCCTGTTTTCAGAATGTTGGTCCTTCAGCTAACACGTAATTGAATAGCCCTAATCCAAACAATAACTCTAACACGGCTCCTTCCAGGCAAGTAACTGCATTTGTCCCGACCATGTTGGATAATTTTTTAAACATATCTGGTACTGATGCCTGTGCTTATTTCTTTACAGGATAGACACACAGTCTTGAGGTCATGGGCCGTGAAGGACTTTGCGCCAAACTGTAAACAGTATGTCTATCTGTTCAAGGCTGTCAACAAGTTGCATGTGAAGTATGCAGGTAGGTGGGTTAGTCTGTAGTAGATTGTGTTAGACATGTCAGTGTTCTGTCTGTTTCTGTTTGTTTGTCCGCCTGTTTTCCATCTTTCTGGACCTCATTGTCTGTCTCCGTTTTCTAACTTTGTTTATCTGTTCCTCTCTGTCTCTCTATTTTGTCTGTATCTGTATTTCTGTAAGTCTCTGTCTTTCTGTCTTTTTCTATCTGACTCCGACCCCCCCCCCCCCCCCTTTCCCCCCCTTTTCCCTCCCTTTCAACTTGTTTTTGTCCCTGTCGCTTGCGCAGAGGCAGATGCAATGAATTCAGTTAGTAAGATGCCTCGTAAACATGTCTCTTTAACAATAAATTATGCTAGAGAGACGCCTCCTAAATATGTTCTTACGAGAAAATGGTACCAACCGTAAGTGTCGGTTTTGCGGTTTATGGGTTCAAAAGAGTTAACTGTTCTTTGTTAATATCGCTAGAGCACGTGATGTGTGAAGATGAGTTCAGTTTTGCTCTGCTGGCCAACAACTGCCTTTATCCTGGCTTGTCCACGCTAGTATCCTTGCTAGTTCATTCCACTAAAGAACAGTAAGTGGTTTTTGTTTTTTGTTTTTATTGCTGTGTGTTAGTCACAAGTTTAGTTAGAAGTTGGTTAATTAGTTAGTTGGAAGTTAGTTAGTTCGTTAGTTAGTTAGAAGTTGGTTAGTTATTTAGTTTTTTCACTAGTTAGTTAGAAGTTCAGTTAGTTAGTTCGTTAGTTAGTTAGAAGTTCAGTTAGTTAAGTAGCTCGTTAGTAAGTTAGAAGTTGGTTAGTTATTTAGTTAGTTCGTTAGTTAGTTAGAAGTTCAGTTAGTTAGTTAGTTAGTTAGTTAATTAGTTAGTTAGAAGTTCAGTTAGTTATTTAGTTAGTATGTTACATAGTTAGAATCTCAGTTAGTTAGTTAGTTCGGTAATTAGTTAGAAGTTGGTTAGCTATTTAGTTAGTTCGTTAGTTAGTTAAAAGCTCAGTTAGTTAGTTAGTTGGTAAGTGTAGTTAGTTAGTTACAAGTTTAGTTCGTTAGTTAGTTAGAAGTTCAATTAGTTAAGTAGTTCGTTAGTAAGTTAGAAGTTGGTTATTTAGTTAGAAGTTGGTTAGTTAGAAGTGTAACAGGGTGGAAACGACAGAGACTACAGTTCAGTAGCCTGAAGATTTTAAGATTTATTATGGTTTGAAAATGGCCAACAGGCAAAAGAAGAAACATTACCATTTATTAGTGTTAGACGATAACACGGGAAAAATCTGGCTTGCTGGGTATAAAAGATTTTGTTTAGTCTTGGAGCGACCCATTCGCAGTCCGACAGCCCAGTCGCACACAGCTCTCTCTCGCTCGCTCGATACCGCCCGATACAGCCACGTGTGTCTCTCGTTAGCTTGCTAACTATCCATTCGTAGCCAGATTATCAATAGCTAGATACTGGTCAGAACTCGCTTGACATTCGGCTGAGTTTTGGCTCGACTAGACTATTGTTATTCGTCTGCGGGTGGGTTATTAGCGGCCCGGGAGCACATCATTGTTGTAGAGCCAGTCATACCAGCCAGTATTTTTAACGATTGCTAGAGAACTAAGGAGAAAGCACGCTTGGGTGTCCTTTTTAGGATACTCTAACAAGCCTTGCCGACTCCGAAGGGACCTAGCTTTCGCCACAGACCGCAATTGCCATCATTGATTTCTCTATCATGGGAAAACAACAAGCAGCCGCTCCTACACCAAGGAAGAGGAGAGCCGTACCAGCAGCTTCACCGGCAGGCGCCCCTATCGCGGCGCCTCGCACACCTACGCCAACAACTGAAGCCGCCCCCATCGTGGCGCCAACACCAGAAGCCGCCCCAGTCGTGGCGCAGGAACCTACCAGTACCCGCCTACGAAGACAGCAGCCAGGAGCCCACAGCAGTGACAACATCATCCAGTGCTCACGCTGTAACAAGGCGTGGCACACAGCTGCAACCTGCCGCAGCAGCCCAGCATGCCGCTACTGCTCCAAGCCGCACGATTTCAAGGAGTGCCCACTAGCCAAGTTGGACCCTGACTTTAAAAAACCCAATAGTAGCAGACGATGCTCAAACTGTGGAGGGCCCCACAGCGCCAGATACCTGGGATGCACCTACCTAAAAAGGTGCAAGCAGCAAGCAGCAACACCAAGTAATGAGAGAAGACCAGAGAAGGTGATCCCAGTCGGAAACAACAACGCGACAACCCAGGAAGTGAGAGCACTCAAAATCGCAGTCCAGAAGCTGACAGCAGACAAAGAAAAGGCCACCGCTGAAAGACTTGAGATGCTGGGATTAATCTCCCAAACACTAGATGCAGTCAAAGCCCAGAAGAGAGACAGAATAGCAGAAGCTGCGCACCACACCAAACTGCTAGCAGAAGTAACTGAAGCAAACAAACAACTACAAGGCCTCCTGACACAGCTGAAGACAGAACAGGACCAGGCAGCAACCTACCGACTAGCCGAAAGAGAAGAAAGAAAGGCAGAGACGGCCTTACTTAACGAAGCCAGAGAGTCCGCGTACAGAGAAGTCGCCCTGCTAGTAAAAACAACAGCAGAAGCAGAAGCATCCACGCGAGAGGCAAAACAAGAACGAGAACTCTTACTAGCAGAAAGAAGCAAGGCACCAGCCGCAAACCCAAACATCAGCAGGGCCGACAAAAGTACCGAAACAGAAACCGAAGAGGAAGGCACTGTCCAGCCAGTTGAAGTAGCCGTGTCCGAAGCTACAGAGGCGACCCCAACCACAGATGAGGCCACTATTCCCGAAGGAAGCAAAGAGGCGGTAGCCATAAAGGTGGAAAGCGAGGCTGACCTTCTAAAAATGATAGAAAGCTTTAACAAACTGAACCACCCACACAGGCTCGAGCTCGATAATAGAAAACGCTACGATATCGTGTATGACCAACCAGAGCTGGCTAAAATTTACTTGCTGCCCGAAGAGGAAACGCAAGCCTCCTTTAATAAAATCCACGCACACCAGGACCAGATAGAAGCAGCCCGAAAACAGCTGGCCCATGCAAGATGGAAGCAAAGGTGTCAGGGTACACCAAACCGACGCAACCGCAAGTACTGACAAGCCACCAAAACAAGACTAAGCCAACAGCCAATCGAAAACCTCCAAGCCGCCATGACACCCAGTCTCCGTAGAACCAGCCAACCTCACTGACGCGACTAAGCCCAGTCAACCAGATTGACCACTCCCACCCATCCCGTTCCAGGCCACCCGGCACATGTGGCTGTCCTTCTCAGGACAGCCATGTCCCCTCCCTAAGCCTGCAAGCCGCCCGCCAAGCTCACGCTGCTAACAAGAACGCAACAAATGCAAGAAAACACAGGCGAAAACCATCGCCACAAAAGTAAAAAATCCAGCTCAGATAGCAAATGACTCGTCCTTGAGAAAACAGGCCATCAGGCAGTTAAAAAAGGACTAAGTTTGGAATTTTTGTTTCTTTTCATACGATACGATTGGAGCGACCTATTTGACTTCCGGACGGACCCACGTAACCTACCTAGTGACTGTGCTTTGAAAATGGGCTAGTCGACAGGTATGGGGATCGTAGGGAAAGTTCGTGGTCTGACTGATTCCAGGCGGTGGTACGTTCAGTCGGTTAAAATTAGAAGTTCAGTTTGTTAGTTAATTAGTCAGTCAGTTAGAAGTTGGTTAGTTAGAAGCTAGTTAGTTAGAAGTTTAGTTAGTTAGATTTTTTTAAGTTAGAAGTTTAGTTTATTAGTTAAAATTTAGTTAGTTAAAACTAGTTAGTTAGAAGTTTAGTTAAATAGTAAGAAGTTAGTTAATTAGGTTAGTTGCTTATCCTTTACAGGACGTTGCAGAACCAACCCCAACAGCCTTTGGCTCCTATGTGGTTTTTCTAGGCAAATTTACGTCCAGTAGTTAGTTAATTAGACGTTAGTTATTTAGACGTTAGTTTTAGTTGCAAGTTAACAGCAAACAGTCACCCCACTGCGCCATTCCTGTGCGAGTGAAAACTACACAGAATGTCCATCACTGTCTCTTGTTCAGACAAACTGATACACACTATGATGTGTATGCCGTGTCAGTGTTTGTGTTTTGTGTGTGTATGTGTATTAACAAAAAAAAAAACTTTTATTTGTGGTGTGGCATGGAGCTGAGTGTGAGTGTATGTGTGCATGTGTTTGTGCGTGCGTGTGTGTGTGTGTGAGTGAGTGTATGCTCTGTTGGCTAACAACCGTCTCTACCCTGGCTTGTCTATGCTGGTATCCTAACTGGTTCATTTCACCAAACACTATACTGCCTTCATCTTTGTTTTCTCCTCCTCCTCGTTCTTGATTCCACTGAAGAACAGTAAATTGCAAATACATTTGTTTTCATTACTGGATGTATGTGTAGAATGTGTGTATGATAAGGGCATATAAATGGTAGTAATTCGGTGTGCTGTGAGTATTTTTTTTACATGTTGTGTATGTGCGCAATTAGTGCACGGATATAGTGTATGTGTGTGTGTGTGTCACTTCTCATTACATGTCTGTCTTACATTTCATTAGATATTTTGTAATCACCCGTCCTTAGATCTTTATGTCACAAGTATGACGCGATGATATGATTCAATAACGTAACATTCTGCAGACAGAAGGGCATGGTCCTGGAGCCATGGCAACAGGTGTATGGCCGACATGCTGCCAATGAAATCTTCCACATTCAAGTCCAAAAGAGCGTCATCTTCAGCCAGTACGAGGGGGAGACGTTTCCCATGAGCTCGGCGGATGCTCATTACAGGTTGGTTGTTGCTGGAATCATTGTCAATGTCCATGGGGAATGTAAAACAAACAAACAAGGGTAACATAGAATTTAATATATGGATACAAAAGCTGTAATGTATGGAAGTCAATGGGACTATACCCCGTGTGGATTCCGGGGCCCTATTATAGGAACAACAAGAATAGACCCACTGCCTACCCAAAAGTATGTCGTTATAGTCGACTAAGTGGGAGATTTCATCGAAGTCAGAGTGCATCTGCCTGGAAGGCCAGGAACCAACAGTCGGCACACAAATGTGTCACGTCTGTCAAACGGATGCACACGCAACACCCAGGTTCTGGGAACAGGATTGCAGTCCAAAAGTGGACGAACAACCAGAATTTTCCACTAGAGTTTACTATAAAAATATAAGTCTAGCCTCATACGCCTGATGCGTTGCTGGCGTATAAAGGGACCTTTATTTTACTTTATTTTTCCTTGGCGAAGTGGTCAAGCCGTTTACCTCGCGCTCTAAAGGTCGTGAGCTCGATTCACGTCTGCGTCGATAAGTTGACGAGTGCAATTTTTACGGAGATCCCTTTTAATCTTTTACTTTTAAACCTTTCTTTACGTGGACACTGAATGGCTATACCCACTAAAAGCCAGCAAGCAATGGACCACAAACTGTCTCTTCCCTTGCCGCTTATCGGCAAAACGGAAATTAATTATGAGGATACTGATGATGATAAAACAAGTTCTAGGCAGTCAAGAAGGAAGGTAAAAATAAAAAATAAAAAGCTACTGCTGCATGCAAAATGATTCTTCTGTCTTTCACAGAAGGCATCACATCTGAATTGTTACACGTTTTCCTTTCCAGGTTTGGTGTGGCACTGCTAGGGGTCATCGACTCCGAGTCTTCAGTCCTCAGGTTGCAGCTAAACCCTGGGCCTCAGTACAAACTTAAGGTCAGTTACTGCGGAGCACGGATTCATTTCCGTTAGTTGAAATGTTCTCCTTCCTCTCTTGATCATTTTCTTCCTCCCGCCTTCACCTTCTTTCCTTTAATCATTCGGCTTCCATTCCTCCGTTCTTCTGTTCCTTCTTCCCTTCCCACCTCTATCTCTGAAGCATTTCTTCTTCCTTCTTCTGCAGACTATCAGTAGAACTATAGTAGAATTAGATTAATGGAAACGAGGGTGGATGACATTCATTAGATGTGGCACATAGGAAAACCGTCAAAAAGAGCTGAAAACACAAAGAACCAAGATCTGGGGAAAGATAAGACGATTTTTACCATCCTGAAAAATTCATAATAATGGTGATTTTGTTTGTCTAGAACTCTCCAAGGTTTGTGGAAAATTATTTGAAGCAGCGGAGGTTGAGTTTTTTTAGACGAACGATGAGAATACCTTTGATAGTTAAAAAAGAGTAATTAAGATGTCTTGGAAGAAACTGACTCACGAAGAGAACTGACTGCCTACATCAAAAGGAGGCAATCTAAATTCTTTGGCCAAGTCAAGAGCAGGAGAAAACTGAAGTACATCATGATGGTGGAAAAGTTGGAGGGGAAAAGCAATAGAATGAGACTGGGAGAGGAGATGCTGGACAGTTTGACATCATGGCATGGAACATCATCCGTATCGGAGTTGACTACACGAGACAGAAGGTTGTGGATAGACGTGACTACCAGCGCCACAAGACATAGATGAATTCTGCTTGCACTTTAAACTGTTTTGTTTCAGACTATCAGTAGAACTATAGTAGAATTAGATTAATGGAAACGAGGGTGGATGACATTCATTAGATGTGGCACATAGGAAAACCGTCAAAAAGAGCTGAAAACACAAAGAACCAAGATCTGGGGAAAGATAAGACGATTTTTACCATCCTGAAAAATTCATAATAATGGTGATTTTGTTTGTCTAGAACTCTCCAAGGTTTGTGGAAAATTATTTGAAGCAGCGGAGGTTGAGTTTTTTTAGACGAACGATGAGAATACCTTTGATAGTTAAAAAAGAGTAATTAAGATGTCTTGGAAGAAACTGACTCACGAAGAGAACTGACTGCCTACATCAAAAGGAGGCAATCTAAATTCTTTGGCCAAGTCAAGAGCAGGAGAAAACTGAAGTACATCATGATGGTGGAAAAGTTGGAGGGGAAAAGCAATAGAATGAGACTGGGAGAGGAGATGCTGGACAGTTTGACATCATGGCATGGAACATCATCCGTATCGGAGTTGACTACACGAGACAGAAGGTTGTGGATAGACGTGACTACCAGCGCCACAAGACATAGATGAATTCTGCTTGCACTTTAAACTGTTTTGTAAAATGTTTGTGCAATGTGTATTTACTGTGTTGTTGTGGGACCCAGGCTACAGACATGCTGTTCTACATGAGTGTCTGCCGGGAAGAGTACTCAAAAATCAGCCCACAAGACTGTAAAGGATCGCTGTGGAGTCTGAATAAACAGTCAGGTCTGTCGAAACGTTTTCTGTCAATGTGCGAGTCTGTCTGCTAAACTGTCTGTATATCTGCTTGCGAAATGCATGTCTGTCCGTTGGCACCTGCCTTTCTGTCTGACCATCTGCACCTGTTTGGACGTCTGCCTGTCTGTTTGCAGTTGTCTTTCTGTCCTGCCTTCTGACTATCTGCATATTTGTCTTTCCATCCAGCTGTATGTCCATTCATCTCTCAATTTAAGAGCAACCCATTATCAGCCAGTGTGTGTGTGTGTGTGTGAGTGTGTGTATGTGTGCATGTAAGTATACTGTCAATCAGCTGTTCTGTCTGTGTTCATCTTCTTGTCTGTCTGCCAGTTTCCGGTGTGTTTCTCTGTGTGTATGTCCATCTGATTTACACCTGTCTGTTGGTTTCTTATCATGTCAGTCTCTATTTGGTTGAAAAATAGTTCCACCGTGTGTTTGTTTATCATTTATCAGTTAGTATTTTGTCTGTGTGGTCACCTACATATGTATATTTCTTTCTGTCCCTTCCTCTCTGTCTGTTTTTATAGTGTCTTTCTTTTTTCCTCTTTTCCCCCCGCACCCCCCCCCCTCTCTCTCTCTCACTATTTCTTATCATCAGTTTCTGCCTGTATGTGTCTCCATCTTTATATCTTCCTCTCTCTCTCTCGCGCTCTCTCTCTCTCTCTCTCTCTCTCTCTCTCTCTCTCTCTCTCTCTCTTTCTTTCATAATATCTGTATCTCTCTCCGTGTCTTTTACAGACTATATATATTTTATTGTCAACTCTCCAACCCTAGGCCCTCAAATAAATTATTTACAACTGTAAAGTACAGAATCCATTTTGGGCCCGTGATACATCGGTCTGAGAACTAGACATGCATTTTTGTTGTAGATCATTCGGCACTGATAGGGTCAGTATTATGCCGGTCGCTTTTACTTCCCAGGACATTAGCTGGTGCTAATTTTAAATTAGGTCAGCCTGGGAGCCAAGCTAAATTTTTTAATTGTCCTTTTTGATGGGGATTCAAACCCTCCAGACCTTCAGGCTGGCAGACATTCGTCTTATTTCTTTATCACCACCGCTTTCCCTTACACCATTAGCATCTGTAAAATAATACCAATACTTTTAATTTCTAATGTAAATATTTGTACAGCTTCCTACGAACAGCAGGAAAAAATGCCCAACTCTCATACACAACAAAAAGACAACACCACAGATTTTGGTAAGCACAGAAAGTCAGAAGATCCTTCTTCTAAAGCCAACAGCAAGCACACAAATGCAACAAACGAGAGGAATGATGCCAGGAATTTAACACCGAATACAATCAAACCGATGAGTCACAGCCGTTCGGCTCCTTTGCTGAAAGATTACTATGAGAATGAGAGAGAGGAGACGAGGAAGAGAAAGAACAGGGTCGTTGAAGAAACAATCTGTGATGTCAGTTACAGCACCGATGAAGAAATGAACACGTCACAGGAAGGTTGGTCAGTTTTTTTTTTTAAATGTTTGTTCTGGTGTTCATCTTGTCTTGACAAACCATCCATGAGATTGTCTGCGTTTACGTCGATATTTTATCATATAGGGCTTTTTTTTTTCCTCGCGGTATGCATCGATATGCATTAGCTGCATCTTTGAACCGTCATCTTTTCACCGCTACTGAAATAAACGTCGTCAGTACCGCTACTTTTAGTTTCATTTGTCTAAAGACATTTTGCAGTGAGTGCTGGAACAATTTTTTGAATAGAAAAAATTAAATGATTCTATGCATATTTCTTTAAAGATAAAATATAATTGCTGTATGAAAGATACATGTTTGAAAGAGCTGATTGTAAGAAGGGCCCACCTGCCAAATTTGTGACGCTTTAAAAAAAAAATATGTTTGTTGGTTTGTTCTTGTCATGTGCGAGGAAACAACAGTTTGCGTAAGCCAGATATGAAAAAGAGATTTGCATGCAAATCTTACGTTCTGGAACTTTACCAAAGTCCAGAAGTAGACGAACAATTAGAATTTTCCTCCCCTAGATTTAGGTTTAAACAACAAATCAACATCCTGGCACAAGCGTAGTAACCCACAAGTGCTCCGTTCTACATCTAACTCCAGCCTGCCCGAAGAATCTCATCACAGTGCACAAACTCCGTAGCACCGACGACGATCTTGAAATACTTTGGGTAGATTTTAACCTCGAAATTTTGTCCATTAGACTTCTCTTTTGATTTCTAACTGCCAAAGGATTTTTACGCGCGCTACACTACACACGGGCGTCCGATCCTAGTACGCAGGGACCAAGGAAATTACTAGAAGTCCCTGTAAAAAAAATCACAGCCTTCACCTGGGCTTGAACCTGCAACCTCCAGCACTCGAGGCGGACGCCGTCTGTTTACATTCGGGGAAGGCTTTTGAAAAAGATAATTAAAAAAAAAAATCCTCAACTCCAGAATGCAATCCCTGGGAAGGTTTATGTAAATTTGCTCTGATTAAATATAAAGATTAAAATGTATGGGGTTTCTAACAGATCCTCGAAAATAAGATGGGTGAACAGGTCTTAGCTTATTGGGAACAGCTTATCTGGACTGCAGACATCAAACTTTTAAAATATTACTGTTATGCCCAATAGTTATTTAGCCGAGCATACAAACGATTTTCTATTTGTTGGATAACAATGTGATTCCTTTTGAAAATACATCAGATAAGTGATTTTATATATTCTTGTTCGTATTGTGAATTTATGAAATATGATGATGAAGGCTCTCTTAGCCGCAATGTTTATTTGTCTTTTATGTTTGCGACCATGTGCAGCTGACTGTTTCTACTTTTCGTTTGCCGAATATCTGTTCACAATAAACGTCTTTCACAACTTCTCTATTGTTATTATATCCAAGTATCTGTTTTTGTATCCAAGTTCACTCATACTATCATTTCCTGTTTGCGATGTTTATTCAGGACATCATGTTGACCTCCGACACGGTGAAGGTCGCGTGCTGCAATTTTATGAGGACATGGAGAGGTGAGTTCAAGACAGAACATTGAAATCCACTTTATACATTCTTTCTCTTTGTACTTTTCGCTGCAGCACACGGCCGGTGTTCGAAACCGGGCGGTTCCCGGTGTTCACCCAGCCTCTCTAGGAATGGGTACCAGAGTTAAGACTGGGGTAAATGGAGGAACGTCGCTGTAGCTACGGAGTTGACAGCGGACGGCGACACGGGCGGACAGTTTCTTATCAGCTGTCCATAATGGTGGCAGAGCACTTATAACCGTGTGCAATGACGCTGGTTCACATCTCCTGACTTGACCCTTTTACCTTTACATATACTAGAAAATTATTGTCCTATTTATTCCGAGGAATAGATTAACCAGTATGTTTATCGTAATTATTTAAAAGGTAGGCACAAAATATATTAAGCTTTACAATCTGTGTTCTTACAACCGTTTAAATTAATACATAATCTATGCAATGTGAAATAACCAAAAATAATTAGTTAGTTAGTTAGTCTTTCCTCTTGTGTCAAGTGCGACACATAGGGCAGAGGTCATGACTCTCCATGCATGGCGGTTCGTTGCAATCTGTTGTAGGTCTTGGATGTTTGAGTGGCCCATGAGTGAGCCTTCCCTGATGATAGTTCTTTGGTCTTCCACGAGATCTTTTCCCCTGTGGTGTCCAAATGATGGCTTGGTAAGGAACTCTTGATTTATCCATTCTAAGGGCGTGGCCGACATAGTTCCAGCGGCGTTTTCGTATAAAATTAGACACATACTCTTGCCTGGATTCTTGCCTTATTTGTGTATTGGTTCGGAAATCTGACCATTTGGAATTTAGTATTCTTCTAAGGCATTTATTTTCAAAACTGTCTAATTTTGTGTCTATAGTTTTCGTTGATTTCCAGCTCTTGCATCCATAGGTCAGTACTGGAATCACACAAGAATTGAAGATCTTGAGTTGTGTGTTTGCTAAGTGTCTTTGATTTCCAGATGTTGGACAGTTTATTGAAGGGACTAGATGCCAGTGCTATTCTAAATGGTATTTCTGGTGCGGTATCTCTTGTAGATGACATCTTGCTCCCTAGATAAGTGAAACTGTTGACTTTTTCAAGGCTGTTGTTGTTCAGCGTGATATCAACTGAACTGTTGGTAAGGTCTAGAATTTTTGTTTTTGCGGTGTTAATTTGGAGTCCAATTTGTTCTGAGAAATTCTGGAGTCGATTGATTTTTTCTTGGGCGTCTGTGTGTTCTGAACTCAGGAGTGCTATGTCGTCGGCGAAGTCTAGGTCTTCCAGAATTTTGTCAACCCATGTAATGCCTAAATTTGCGTTATTTATGCACTTGCGCATGACCCAGTCGATTGCTATACCAAAAAGCATCGGCGATAGGACACAGCCTTGCTTCACTCCTGTTTCCACCGGGAACCAGTCAGAATTGCCGGAATCAGTTCTTACACAGCATCGTGTTTCATTATAAAAAGATTTTATGATGTTGATATATTTGATGTGGAAACCATAGATGTTAAGCAATTTCCAGAGTGTTGGATGATGGATACTGTCGAAGGCTTTTTGGAAGTCGACAAAGTTGATCAATAATTTCGACTGGAATTCTGTAGAATCTTCAACAATTATTCTAAGAGTAAAGATGTGGTCTATGCATGACCGCTTGGATCTAAAACCGGCTTGTTCTTCCCTTAATCTTTCATCTATGGATTTTTTCAATCTTTCTAGTAGCATACTACAAAATAGTTTCCCTAGTATCGAAAGCAGGGTGATGCCTCTCCAGTTGTTACAATCGGATAAATCACCTTTTTTTAGGTAATTTGAAGATTACACCATCTTTCCATTGTTGTGGTGGGTATTCGTTTTGCCAGACTTCATCCATCAGCTGGAGCAAATATTGCAGGGTGGATAATTGACAAGCACAAATATCGAAAATTAAAGTACAAAACAAAAATGAATCTTTTAGTTATGGACCAGATGAGCTTTACAGGACATCATTGTTTCAATTACTATTGTACTACTGGTGCTGCTTCAACGACTACCTTTACATTTTTTTTTCTGTTTAGTTTGTTTACATTGATTAATTCACATAATAAACAAACATAACCGTATAGATTGGAAGCTTTTCTGAAAGAAGAATGATGATGTGGTGCAGAGAAAGCCTAAAGATGTTCTGACTGTCAATAAATTCCCCCTTCGCCCCCCTCCCTAGGAAAATATGCAGAGCTGGCACGTAGAATGTACGAACTATGTACAAGATGGCATTAAAAAAAAAAAAACACACACACACACGGAGAAGAGAACTAGAGAGTGAAGTTAAAAAGGTAGAGAAAGGCATAGGATGACCTGGAGTTTATTGCCTGAGGACCTATTTTCTATGGGAAGAGGGGTAGGAGTAGATAAACGACAAAAGAATACGAACTGTGTATAAATTCTTTAAATTTGTTTTCACTTATCTTTGTCAAAGGTTGACAATGGGAGCTCCTCCAGCCACCACCTGTACAGGTGTGGGACGTGCCAGTTGTCACATTCGAACTCAGATCCGTGACCTGTGCTGCCTGGAATGGGGAAAGGTAAAATCATCAGTTCTAAATCACAAACATCCATTGTCAGATGCACAGGTTTGGGTTGACCATGGACTCGGGAAGTTCAGCCTGACAGAAAAAGATCCTGAAGTCCAAGATATCATGTCCAGGGGCGCAGGAGGTCTCGAAGGGTTTCACAGCCGAGCCATCCCTGTGTGGGTTCTGGGACCCCATTGAGGGGAGAACAGTAACAGACCCACTGCCTGCCCAAAAGCATGTCGTAAGAGTCGACTAATTGGGAGCTTCTTCAAAGGCGAGTACATTTGCCTGAGAGACAAGGAACCAAAAGTCTGCATGCAAATGAGTCAGACCTGTGAAACGAATGCGCACGCAATTCAGTTTCTGGAGAAGGACAAGAGTGCAGAAGTGGACGAACAACTAGAACTTTCCGTCGGAGTTAACAGCTAGTGAACGCAAACAAGAAGAAGAAAAAAGATATATTTCGCACCCACTTTTGCTGACATCTTTTGGAAATGAAAAGCAGTGTCAGTAAATCATTGTCTAATAAGTTAGTTTTCTGTCCTTCACAGGGCGTTGCAGAAACAACCCCAGCGTTTTACAGCTGTTGTGGTTTTTCTAGGCAAATTTATGTTCGGTAGTTTGCCTTTGCTCCCTAAACGGTCAGTTTTTGATACTACTGTCAAAATCAACGCAAGGCGGCTTATTGAGAAATCGCCTGCAGTTAGCATCAGACCCGGCACCCCGGCATTAAGAAGGGTGTTTGCAAAGCCTGTCATAAACTGACTAAAATGAATGCCTGTACGTTTTAAAAGTGCTGATCACCTCGTCATGCATGATATTCCGGGCGTGGCTAACAAATCTTGAACACCTTATGAAAGAAATTACAAAGTCTACAAGAATGGATTCATGTTTCAGATAGCTGTCTCTCAGTACGTGGTTTTAATGCAGGGTAGTTTTCTTTTAACCATTACACAAATATTATCCTGGCTATTAAAGATGGTGATTGAGCTATTATGAGAATGCTTCAGCTGCTCTGGGGAGCTACTTGTTTTTCTTCTTTCGTTTGCCTGAAGTAAGTTGTCTATATCAGCAATTGTGTCTCTTGTATAAGTAAGGGGAGCTACTATGGTGTAGCAGCTAGACTCTCGCCTGCAGACTGGAAGGTCGTGGGTTCAGGTCCTAGCGGAGGCAGACTTGTTCTCTCCTAAAAATAACACTGGCTTCCAGGCCGACCAGCCTTAAAATAGTAAAGATCTGGGAAGTAAATCCGGCCAGCGTGAGGCTGACCACATAACCCATCTTGTGCTGATTGGTCTATAAAATATAGGACTAGCCCTATATGCCCAGTATGCCTAGAGACGTGGGAAATGGTCCTTAATCCAGGTGGTGTGATGTTGTGTCTCAACTCCTCAACCGTGCAGACAAAAGCCAAGCAGTAAGGGATCATTCACATTACAAAGAAGTTCATCCTTCCCATTTAATCAGCTGTTCAGAAAATCTGCAGCTCTCAGTGCTAACTCTGTCTGTTTATTGTCTGTCTCTGCCTAATGCTGTTAGGAGTTGCAGGAGCAACTAATGATCGGTTTCTGTGATAGTGCGTGTTCGTTAGCTTGCTGCATGGTGATATTATTATCCTTAGCCTTTCTCTGCCTCTTATGTTTCCATTCTCATGTTGTGTGCACTTGCAACCAATGATGCTGGGTTCATTCTGAACAGGTGGCCAGATCATTTCAGTCTTTGTTTGTCAATAAATCAAATTACAAATTTTGATCTCACCATTCTAATGATATCCTAATTTCTGTTATGTTCTCTTCTTGTTATTTTGACTGCTTTTATCGAACATCTCATTTCATACGTCGTTAGTTTCCGCACTTGGTTTTTTTTGTTATGTCCAGCTTTGGCATTGGCTACACAGTGGTATCATAAAATCATTGCTGTCATCTCTGTATTATATTTCAGAGCTGTGAACATTGTTCCTACAAAAACGCTAACGACAAAAGGTGGGACAACCAGCTCATCATCCTCGTTGCAGAACATGCCAGCTCCGGGATGTTCCACTTTATCGTCCCACTAAGATCCTCGGCAATTGGTGTCAATGGATTAAGTCCCATAATTCTTCTTCTAGAGGAAGCGTAAGTATTTGATTTTTGTATGATGTTATGCGTCCATTGTTTGTATGATACGAAGAATGTATAGAACATCTTATAGATATGAAGCAGGATTGATGAACGTCCAACAGATGCGTCTTGTGTGGCTTTTTCTTCTTCAGAATTCCAAGCCCTTTCTGTTCATTGCTGCAGGTATCACCCAGCTCCCTTTATCTTTGTAACTGACCTTCTTTTTCCAGTTGGTGTCGCCAAGTCTTTGTAGCTCTGCAGATATTATCTATCCACCCTCTTCTTGGTCTACTACAATTCAGCTCTTTGTTATCTGCTCTTCTTTCAATATGCCCTAACTACTGCAGACTATTAACCCTCAAGGCGTCAGAGGTTAGTAGTAATCTAAATTGGTTGTATGAATTTCGTTGTTGCTTCTCATTTTCCATTCTCCGCTGTTTGCGTTATTTATGTGTCCAACAGTCTGATGTTAAGAATTTGTTCTCAGGAGTTTTATGATCAATGATATAATTTTGCTTGGCCCTACCAAGGCAGTCCCACTTATATGTAAAATAGCTCGCTTCTTCAAGGAAGGTAACTTTTTAGTAGCATACACCTGAGTTAGGGAGCCGCCGTATTCTAGCAACTAGACGCTCGCCTGCGGATCGGAAGGTCGTGGGTTCGGTTCCTGTCGTCTGCCTGACTTTTATTTTAAAAAATGACCTCGGCTCTAAGGTGGACCCAGCCTTGAGTGGGTACCAGGTGCAGTCCTGTGAAGTGAAGGCGACCAGTGTGTCATAACCCACCAAGAGCCATTTGGTCTATAAAATATAGATCTAGCCCTATATACCCAGTACGCCTTAATGGCGTGGAAAAAGGTCCTTTACTTTAACACACATGAGTTGCAAATATCTAAATGCTCATTGGCAGGGAAGAAGGTTCCGCAGTGTGGTTATAAAGAGATGTGAGACAAGTGTATGTATTACCCGTACACATTTTAAGTTTAAAAACAAATTAACATAGGAACCTCCAAAACAAAAAATAAAGCACATTTAAATTTTTTTTTCAATCCCAAGATCACGACCCACTTTCTTGACCATTGGCCACAAAAGGAAACCCCTTAGACAAATATTGATGAGAGAGGCCAAAGCTGTTGGACCGGACACCATACATGATATCTAAAGGATAGAACAGACAGAAGGAATAGACTGCAAGCCCTATGTGACATATACTGCTGTTACACACCAGGACAATGATGATAATGTACAGTATTCACATATAGAATATATTGCAAGTTAGACAAGAAGGTTAGGACCCTGCACTGAATGAAAATCAGTAAACCGTTCGTTTTGTAGTCAAAGATGGAGTAGTATCCAGAAACCTTCCGTGCATTCCCATCTATGTGGGTTCCAGTTCTCCATTTTGAAAATGTGCGAAAAGAAGTAGGGGAGAACGGCGATGCTCTCATTGCCATTAAGAAGCATGTCAGGAAAAAAAAGGCCACCAGTTAGTGTTTCACGTCCATCTCAGCATCCTTACCTGCACAGGACCACACATTAGCACCTGACTGGGGTAGCCGATAAAGGCGCCCTAATTATAACTTCTTTACTGGTTGTATAGGGTATCTGGGATTTGCCTGGTTGGGTTTCCGTCCACGCTGAGATTTTTAAAGAGTGGTGTGGTAAATCTTTAGATAGCAGCCATCAGGGGACAAATTGATTGATCAGGGATTGAGATTTTGCAGGAGGAGTGTTTTTAGCATAAAGGCGCCTATATTGCAGCCTCTGTAAACCAAAACGCATTGTGTCAACGGCCTTTTTAAGAAAAAAACTCAGAGAAAGATTAAGATTGTCTGCGATTTAAGATGAGGCCGGGGAGAGTTGGTTTGTAACTGGCTACCTCATTATAGAGACAAACTTAGCTGCGAAATCCAACACTTAGTATGATATAAAGGACTTGGTGTGAATTGGTTGTGGGTCTATTGGGAGATAAAAGATAGAAGAAGGAGAAGAAGTCCAAGGTTCTTCAGTAGAACAGTCTGTAGTGCAATAGATTCCAGGTCACTGTTGCTTGGAAGGCAATGAAACAGCCTACCGGTTGGCTAGAAGCGGCAGTGACATGGTTCAACCAAACAGTGACTTAAACCACCAAGAGTCTAAGGTCAATAATTCTATCTAGTATCCAAGAAAGGTGGCTGGATACACACACCAGATTCTCTCCTCAAGATTCGCTTCTTCGCCTCTCTAGAGAGGCACAGTGTATTATATTCAGATTAAGGACAGGGCACAACAGACTTCGTTAACATGTGTTTAAACACGGAGACGTGCCATTGCAACTTGGCACCCGAAAATGCTGAGCATGTGCTCCAACACTGTCAAACTGTATTTTAACAACAGAGACGCAGTCTGACCTTATTCCAACCACAATGAAGACAACACTTTATGGTACACGAGAAGATATGGACTGTGCCTTAGCTTTCATAAAGGCTACCGGCCTCCTGATATAAATTTTCCGACAAAAGGATCGAAGAAGAAGCAGAAGAAGGAACGGAAAAAGAAGAAGTGGTGTCGGATAAAAGAAAAAAAAAAAGAATAATATTGTTATTTTAGTCTTTCATCTGATAACTGTGCCTATTGGTAATTTTTCATTTATTTCTTCCGTACTAAAAGAAATGTAAATATTTTTTAACATTCTAAACCCAATATTATTTGTTTATTTGCAGACCGGATTACCTATTTTTGGAATCCCTGGCACATTTTCCTCTTGTTTATTACATGATTGGCTCAATCAAAAGGTATGTGAAATATAGAGTGTTTGTAAAGTCTCCCTATACTTTGTATGTAGAACAAATTTGAAAAACCAGGTACATGAGGTTACTTTTTTTTAAAACGCGCTTCATAGTCAATCGTGAAGGAATACGCAGTAAATTGCTGTCCTCTGCTGGTAATTCTTTGCACTTAAAACATAATATTGTTACCGGAAGAAAGTTTTGCGAATTGTAAAATATCACCTGGAATTCGCCCTGCTTGTACTCCAAATCTTAACTCCATTATATTATTATCTTTGGGGTAGGTAGTTGTACCCCACCAGGACATCACATAAACGATAAACACCCACTGACACAAAGTGCCACCATGCGGATTAGGATCACGCGTAGAGAGGTCCCAGAAACCCCTTTCAGCCGTTAGGCCATATCAGTGGCCCTGGCTATATTTATGGCCCGGTTATATTCAGGTTCCCTGGCAGAAGCCAGGGAGGGGCTTCAAATTAAAAAAAAAATTGCATCCACATGGGGACGAGATCGAGTCAATAATGAAACTATCAGACAAATTGTGGGAACACAACACCTTGTACTCGTTTTATCGAGAAACAGCAGATCATGTGGTTTGGCCATCTCGTTTGAATGCAGCCAGACTGAATACCATGAAGAGGACGGCCGAAAAAATTATGGATCGACAACATTAAAAACACTTTACACCTTCACGGCATGACAGTAGCCAGTGGTAGCCAGCGTGTACTGGATCACAGATTATTCATTCCCACGACGATTAACGGAAGAAGTGGTTTATGATGATGATGATATAATAAGGAAGTCACAAGGCTCTGCTTCTGGCTTTTATGACCGCCTCGACTACAGATACATCGTGCTGTTGTCGAGTTTCTTGTAAAAACAATCACCACAGCCCTCTAAAAAATAGTCAATGATTCTTTTTTCTGTTACAGTATAGATGACCTTTTGGTGGCCGGCATCAACAAGGCTAGTCATCTTGTCATTGTCAACCGAGACCCAGAGAAGAGTTCGGAAGGAGAGGAGTTTCTAGAGGACTCGGAGACTGTTGTTGCTGTTCAGACCATCTCAAGGTGGGTTAGCTGGTAACATTGCCATTATCTCTTCGTCTTCGTCTTTCTCTACTCCCGGAATGCCTCGCGGCTTTAGGGCATGAAAAGATCTCTGGAACGGACCCTTCTATCCACTTCGTATAAAGTACTTTTCAGTGACTCGGATATTTCTGCGGCCAGTATTCTGCGTGGTCGACCTCTGGCTCTGTTACCGCTGTATCTGTAGGATACTGCCATCATCATCACCATCATCGATTTCTAATTCTACCGCTGAGCATCTTGGGAGGAAGAAGGAGGGGTGGGATCCGTTGCTTGATCGATGGGTAGGACGGATATTGCTATCCAGTATCAATGTAGAATTATCTTTATGAGGCCTACCATAAATTATCACTGCTTTGACCTTTATAATTTCTATCACAATTACCACTGACTGTAACTGGTACCATCGGAATTAGAACTTGCTGCTAAAACTGGGGATGAAGCGTTTATGGGAATGTCCAGACAGCTGTGATGTCGATTCTTGATTCAACAACATTTAACATTCACAGTTTTTCTGCAATGTGACACATTTTCTACGTTGGTGAGTGTGAATACATGGGTGATTGTGTATGTATGGATGATTTTGTGTGCATAGGTGATTGAGTATGTATGCATGCATAAGAGTCAATGTGTGTGTGTGTGTGTGAGTGTGTGTGTATCCGAGTGTGTGTATGTGTGAATGCACGTGAATGTATGGATGTGTGCTTGAGTATGTATCAGTGCATGTGTCTATAAAAGTGATTGTACATGTATGTATAAGTATATATATATATATATATATATATATATATATATATATATATATATATATATATATATATATATATATATATATATACGTGTGTGTGTATGTGTGAGTTTTAGCGCATGTATGTGTACTCATAAAGATTATAATGGTCAAATTAATTATTTTCTTCGGCCCGTCATCATCATTGGCTATTCCTCTATCGTCACATCCGCAATCATCATTCTCACCATTACCATTACCGCAACTTTCTCTATCATCATTCTCACCATTACCATTACCGCAACTTTCTCCATCATCATTTACACCATTACCATTACCGCAACTTTCTCCATTATCATTCTCACCATTACCATTACCGCAACTTTCTCCATCATCATTCTCACCATTACCATTACCGCAACTTTCTCCATCACCATTCTCACCATTACCATTACCGCAACTTTCTCCATCATCATTTTTACCATTACCATTACCGCAACTTTCTCCATCATCATTCTCACCATTACCATTACCGCAACTTTCTCCATCATCATTCTCACCATTACCATTACCGCAACTTTCTCCATCATCATTCTCACCATTACCAATACCGCAACTTTCTCCATCATCATTCTCACCATTACCATTACCGCAACTTTCTCCATCATCATTTTTACCATTACCATTACCGCAACTTTCTCCATCATCATTCTCACCATTACCATTACCGCAACTTTCTCCATCATTCTCACCATTACCATTACCGCAACTTTCTCCATCATCATTCTCACCATTACCAATACCGCAACTTTCTCCATCATCATTCTCACCATTACCATTACCGCAACTTTCTCCATCATCATTCTCACCATTACCATTACCGCAACTTTCTCCATCATCATTCTCACCATTACCATTACCGCAACTTTCTCCATCATTATCCTTACCATTTCCGTTATCACCACCTTCTCAATCATCATCCTTACCATTACCCTTATCACCATCTCCTTATCATCTTTACAATTATCATCACCTTTTCCATCATCATCCTCAACACTACCATTATCAACATCTCTTCCATCATCATATACATCTCCTTGATCGTCATACATTACCACTAAAATTATCATCACCTACTCCACCATCATAAACATGTCTCCCCTCATCACGATCACTGAAAACATCATCTATTACAGACTGTTTCCAAGCACGTATGTTTTGACAGCGCTGAGTCAAACCTCCAATATGAGGTTTATGAGGTTCTCTGTTCCTTCGATGCACTCGCAGAAAAAGGTAAACTTGAGTGATGTTTTCGTTTCTTCTTCTGCCTCCTCTTCTTCATATTCTTCTGTCTCTTCGTTCTTTTCTTCTTCATTTTCTTCATAAATTCTTCCTCTTGATTAGGACTACAGATGTTTTGACAGAGACTAAGGCCTTAATTTAGCTGATCCCAAATATAAAAAATAGGCATCTATCTTTATTTTTTTTAAACTAAAGCTTGTTGTGACACCTGGAAATGTTTTTGGAAAGTTAGATAGAGAAAGACAATGAGAGAAGATTGTTGACAACTTTTTTTGTTTTATAGCATTGAGGGTTGTCATCTTTTTTTTTAAAATTCTGTGTTGTGACAACCAGAACTATTTTTGGGGAACATGAGATAGAGGAAGACAGTGAGAGAAGGTTCTTGTTAACTTTTTGTCCTGGCATGGAGAGATGTCAGCTCACAAGCTGATACATTCTCAAAGTTATAGAGAATCTTGATCGATCATGCCGGTCAGCAAGGCACTTGAGGATGCTATTGACTTCAGAATTGGTTCTAAATAGCTCTTAGGGGCTTTCATTCTTTCCATTTGTCTATAAGAATTTTTTTTACAGTGAATTGGAGAAACAGAAGAAGGATAAGATTCTCAATGGTTTTTCTTTTGTTTTTTTTTTAAATGTCAGCTTCGGGACTCAGCCGCGTCTGCTGTGAGAGAGATCTTTAGACTTCCTTTTGCTGCTGGTCAGGTTTTTTCAGCCAACATGCTGGACACATTGTTGTACCAGGTAAAAAAAATTTTTTGTATGTTTTAGCAACGTTTCTACTCTAAAGCAATGAATATTTACCTCTTGGAATCTATCATACATACCATCATGTTTGATGGGCACATGTTTTTCATCTGCGATGCACATCTACATTATCCATTATAAGACATTTACATTGTCCATTACTAGACATCTACATTGTCCACTACTAGACATCTACATTGTCCACTACTAGACATCTACATCGTCCACTACTAGACATCTACATTGTCCACTACTAGACATCTACATTGTCGACTACTAGACATCTACATTGTCCACTACTAGACATCTACATTGTCCACTACTAGACATTTACATTGTCGACTACTAGACATTTACACTGTCGACTACTAGACATTTACATTGTCGACTACTAGACATCTACATTGTCCACTACTAGACATTTACATTGTCCACTACTAGACATCTACATTGTCGACTACTAGACATTTACACTGTCCACTACTAGACATTTACATTGTCCACTACTAGACATTTACATTGTCGACTACTAGACCTCTACCTTGTCGACTACTAGATATTTACATTTTCGACTACTAGACATCTACACTGTCGACTACTAGACCTCTACATTGTCGACTACTAGATATTTACATTGTCGACTACTAGACATTTACATTATTGACTACTAGACATCTACATTGTCCAATACTAGACATCTACATTGTCCACTACTAGACATCTACATTGTCAACTACTAGACATTTACATTGTCCACTACTAGACATTTACACTGTCGACTACTAGACATCTACATTGTCGACTACTAGACATCTACATTGTCGACTACTAGACATCTACATTGTCGACTACTAGAAATCCATATTGTCGACTACTTGACATCTACATTATCCACTATTAGACATCGACATTGTCGACTACTAGTCATCTACATTGTCGACTACTAGACATCTACATTGTCCACTACTAGACATCTACATTGTCGACAACTAGACATTTACACTGCCCACTACTAGACATTTACATTGTCCACTACTAGACATTTACATTATTGACTACTAGACATCTACATTGTCGACCACTAGACATTTATATTGTCCACTACTAGTCATTTACACTGTCCACTACTAGACATTTACACTGCCCATTACTAGACATCTACATTATCCAATACTAGACATCTACATTGTCCACTACTGGACATTTTTGAAATTATATCTTATTGAAAGATCCTCGGTATGTCTTACAGAGATTATATAATAACTGACAAAGTTCACATATCATCACTCAAAACACTGGCAACAATGAAACACTTTCAAAAAAGGATGGAAAATGCAATGGTAGGGACATAATCGACCGGCTTCTTCAAAACGATACTTCAGGGTTCTGTAGAGGTAAGGAGGTGCAGATCAGAAGAGTACTAGATACAGAATGTGGCTGAATGGACAGGCTATAGCATCTGTGCCTTTTGTGTGTGTGTGTGTGTGTTTTTGTTTTGTTTTTTTGGTTGAACGATCCATTCACCATCAGAAAACACTTACTCATTAAAGTAATGAAGGAAAATAATGGTTTCGGGGTCGCCACAACATGAGGAACTGTATTAAAGGGTCGTGGCATTACGAAGGTTGAGAACCACTGATCTAGACCAATCAAGGAACTGATCAGACGGCCAACAAAAACTGGTGAACTTAAAAAGACGTGGTGTCATGGTACTGTGGTGGCTGTTAACTCTTTCCGTCCTAGACACGTGTCGCTCAATATTTTTGATCCCACAGTTTGTGGAATTTTAGAAAAAATCATAGATTATTTATTATATTTAAAAAAAAAAACTTTAGAAAAAAAAAAAAAAAAATCAACAACTATGGATCTGAAATGGAATGGTTGAAGTTCAACCCCACCAGGAACGTAAAATGACCCACAAACAGTCGGTGACAGAAAGTGCCACCGTTTTGATGAGAATCACACGGGCGCAAAGTCCCAGAAATCCCGTTCAACCGTTAGGTTATATTTGACCTTCCGACAACAGCCGGAATGGTGCTTTAAAATAACGAAAGAATTGCGTCCCATATTGGGACTGCGTACACATCTGAAAAGGTAGTAGGTAAGTTGTACCCCACTAAGACATCTCACAAGCGCTAAACACCCGGTGACACAAAGTGCTACAATGCGGATAAGGATCACCCGTGGAGAGCTCCCGGAAGCGCCGTTCAGCCGTTAGGACATGTTTATGCCCCGGCTATATTTAGAGCTCCCCGCAAAAGCCGAGGTGGGGCTTTAAAATAACAAAAAAATTGCACGGGGACGACTTGTACAATATCTGCAAAGGTGAATGTTGCAGAAATGATAGCGTGAATTAACAGAACAGACAAATAAGACATAATTTACTAAATGTGTACTGTACAGACTGAATAAGACATAATTTACTCAATGTGTACTGTACAGACTAACAAACAAACAAACGGTGAGTTGCATCACGGCCTTCTCTATTTATTGTTGCATGAGTATTGTTGCATCAGAGAAGCGGGGTGGGAGGGGGGGGGGGGAGGGGTGACATTTGTACTTTATCAAATTTAGCGCATAAAAATACTGCTATGAAACATACACATGTCATACATAACATAAATATAAATGATTGATGGTTATTATTATTATTATTATTATTATTAGTAGACTACTACAACATACAATTATACTGTTATTTAATAATTAGTAAACAAGCACAATCAGTATGAAATTGATATGTGCAATACTTTTTTCACCCAGAGTAGTTTTCTTAACAGTACATTGTAGCACTACTAAATATGTATCCTCCAGGTACAAACAGCACAAACACATTTGTCCAGTTTCATCTTGGATGAAATCAATTCCTTATCATTGCGAATTTTTTGGTAACAGTTTAAAAATACATTACACATATTTCTAATTACTGCATGCAACAACGCGTATAAGTATCATGAATGGTATATTATTTTAAAGGTAATTAAAGCAAATTAAAAAAGACCATATAACTACAAATTGCTGAGCAACATACACATATCAAACACAAAAATCCCCATATAGATACCGGATTTCGTTGTTCAAAACTGTCTGGAACAAAACTAAAGCCCGGAATAAGATGGACAGCCAGAAGTTTCTGCAAGAGTTTACAGCCAGTGTTTGCGAAGCAAATGCCAATTTACAAAAATTAACTCAGACCGTACAACTGCAGATATGCACAAGAAGTGGATGAACAACCAGAAGTTTCCGCAAGATTTTACAGGCAGTGTTCGCGAAGCAAAGCAAAAGCCAGTTTACAAAAATTAACACTGACCGTACAACTGCAAATATGCATAAGAAGTGGATGAACAACCAGAAGTTTCTGCAAGAGTTTGCAGCCAGTGTTCGCGAAGCATAAGTCAAATGCTTAAGGATTAATATTATTAGTGTACTGCTACAACATATAATTATACTATTAGTCAACAATTAATAAAGAGGCAAAGAGTGACTTACTGTGAGAGGTTAGTTAGTAAATTAAATATTATTTTCAGCCACTTACCTAGAGCTCCGAAATATCTTGACACAATTTATCCACAGTCTGGTTGCACCATTTATGCACAGTCAATATGGAAGCAATAGTTTTCTTCCAACACAAGATAGTTTGCACCTGACAACTGTCGATATTCTCCAGATATGGCTTCTAAATTACCTGTTTGTATTTTCCCTAAAAGTAAGATTTCTACATTTAAAGTAGAAAGTAGAAAAGTAATAAACAGCCAGTTCCCCAAAATCTGAACTACTGACTAGAAACAGTGACACTGACACACACAACACAATACGACTGTCACCGGTGAATTAAAATTAAAATTGCTGTAATCTTACAACAAAGTATGAAAATCTTGTATATCCACTTTACAATATCCGCTTGTCGATTTGTAATACGAATACAATAAGAACACAGAAGTTTGTAAGCATATTATATTGTCACACAATGCAACATGGAAATGCTTCAAGTAACCTATTTTCGAGGGGACTCAGCCAAAATGTATCGTGATTCTGTTGTTAGGCATTATTAGAGAAGGCAGTAGTTGCATGGGTTAAATTGACTTTGGTTTTGATTTCTTTGCAGACTTTCACCAAAGGTTACCTGATCAGTTTTGTGAGGCTTCTACTGGGCATTGACTCTGAGAAAGGTTCTGGACATTTATCTAGCGTGAGTAGCCATGCAAGAACTTGCAAGGGACTGTAGTGAATGACTGTAAATAGTCAAGACATGTTTAATCTGTGGGTATCTGCGAGACGCAAAAGAAAGTTGGATAGAAAGCAAGTGTGCAGAAAAAGAATAATGTCACAAGTTGAACAATAAAAAAAAAAATCCGGGATGAAGTAGAATTGGCCATCAAAACTAAAAATATTTTTTTTTAAATTGAAAATCTGTAGGAATTGACAATATTCAAGCTGAGGTCCTTAAGGCGGGTAAGGGGGATTCGATTGCTCAGAGCACTAGCTATTAGTACATTTACATATGGCTGTGAAAGTGGACCCTAACAGCTGAACTCGAAATGAAGATACAAGCATTTAAAATGCGATGTTTCAAAACAATTTCTTGGCCTATCATACAGAGACAACATTACAAACAAAGAGGTTTGCCATAGAATTATAACTGCTCGCTAGAATAGTTGGTTAAAGCTGACTTCGCGGCGACCGGGTAACGAACTCCATGTGTTCCGGGTTCATGCCCTGGGGTGGGCAGAATAGTCACATTTCTCCCAGATTTACGATACCTATCATGGAATCAAGGCCGACGGCTTGCGATATCCATAGTAAGGAGCCAAAGGGTTAACAACTTATGATTTCTGGATAGTTAAAAAAAAATTATTTAGAAAAAAAAAAAACCCAGTGAAATGCAAAAAAATGCCTTGGTATGGACATGTAATAAGATCTAACGGCCTCTCAAAAACATTACTGCAGGGCTCATAGAGGGAAAGAGGAGAAGACGCAGACCAAGAAAGACCTTGTTACAGAACCTGACTGACTGGACAGGCCCCAGGCATGCCACCATGAAATCCATCGCATCTGACTGCCTAAAGTGGAAAGAGCTGATCAGACAGTCAACAGAAACTGGTGATGTTACGGGATGATGATGATGATAGTAATACTGTTTGGGAGATGCAGGAGTACATAGGAATGAAGCAGCTGATTTTTCGGCTACAAAAGCGATAGCTATAGGAACAATTATGATAGATAAAGGAGACATTCTGAAAACCATTTATGAACGAATGCTGATAGGAGAAATAAAGTTAGATTGAATAACATGTGTAAGAATGTGTATACCTGGAATTAGGCGTGGATCCATAAAGAGAGGGACGTATGGGGGTAAAAGAACGATATGTGTATTATCAGTGTGCTATGAGAACAATAAACATTTCTACATTTAGATATTTGCAGCAACAAATTTTTTTGAAAATCAAAGAATGAAATGGTTCAAGCATGAGAAGGTAGACAGACCAAACTGCATATGGGACGTTTTACGGCAGAACATCTGGGAGAAAGGCGATAGGAAGACCAAGAAAGATATGCATAAATGATTTAGCAAAAACCTGCAAAAAGACAAACAAATCCATCACCCAAGTCATCCGAGAAGCGCAAGACAAATACAGACAACCACGACACTTAGCTACAACCTGGTATCAGTGAGACGACAAAACCACGACACTGAGCTACAGCCTGGTATCAATGAGACGACAAAACTACGACACTAGGGTTCAACCTGGTATCAGTGAGACGACAAAACCACTACACTGAGCTACAACCTGGTATCAGAGACGATAAAACCACGACACTGAGCTACAACCTGGTATCAATGAGACGACAAAACCATGACATTAGCTACAGCCTGGTATCAGTGAGGCAACAGAAGGAAAAGATTGTTCAACATCTTGTAAAGGATATACAACAAACTAGCTATAAATTCTGACTTCTAACCCTTTAAGATTATATAGCTGACAATGATGTGTATGATGTTTCTATAATTGTCACAGATCCGTGTGAGGAAGTCCACACTTCAGAGATTCCACGAATATAAAGATCTATACTCCTGGTTGTGTTTGTCTACTGGAGAAGTCCCCTTTGCTATTTATCGAACGGAGCGAGTCGCAAAGGAAACTGATAAGGAAATGATTGCTCGAGTGTTTTACGGTGATGAGTTCTTTGATCTTGTCAATGAAAAGGTTGGTAAACGATTGTGTGGGATCTTTTAGCCCTTGTTAGTCAAATTAGTCAAAGTAAATGTTTGTGTAAATATGAACATAACCACAGTCTTCACAGTCCTCTCCATGCTGGGGGCCGGGCGGGAGAGGCATTCCTTCTGGAGCAGTGGATCTCAGCCTTCCTAATGCCGCGATCATTTTATAGAGTTCCTCATGTTGTGGCGACCCCCAGACATACAACTATTTTCGTAGCTACTTCACAACTTCAATGAATATTTGTTTTGCTATGGTCTATGGCGACTCATGTGAAATGGTCGTTTGCCCCCCCCCCCCCCCCGCCCCCAAAGTTCGCAACCCATAAGTTGAAAATCGCTGCTTCAGGGACAAGCAAAGAAAAAAAAGGGGGTGGGTTGGGGAGGGGGGGGGGGACATTAAGCAGAAAACTGCCTTTGGAAAGTCAGTACATTTGTGCTTCTACATAACATTCCGTTTTACTAATAATTTACTTCAATTTATAAATTTAAAAAAAAATTAACAAATTTGAAGTATTTATTAAACAAACCACAAGAACATTTTTGTTTTCCTGAGCAGTTTTTACATCTACAGTTAAAAATTGGATTAATATGATAACACATACATTTAATTATAGATTAACATATTCTCATCAAAATGAATATCCATATTTTCTGTTTACCTTGTTAAGGAATCTATTGTCCTCCTCTTTTTAATCACATTTTGTAATGTAATTTTAAAAAACAAGGAAAGGTTGGGGGGGGGGGGGTGTGTCTTGTCATATACTCAAGGGATGAGTGGTGGTCCTGTCATCTATTGAAAGGAGCATGGGGAGTCTTGTCATATATTGAAAGGAGCATTGGGAGTCTTGTCATATATTGAAAGGAGCATAGGGAGTCTTGTCATATATTGAAAGGATCATGGGGAGTCTTGTCATATATTGAAAGGAACATGGGGAGTCTTTTCATATATTGAAAGGAACATGGGGAGTCTTGTCATATATTGAAAGGAGCAAGGGGAGTCTTGTCATATATTGAAAGGAGCAAGGGGAGTCTTGTCATATACTGAAAGGAGCAATGAGAGTCTTGTCATATATTGAAAAGAGCAAGGGAAGTCTTGTCATATATTGAAAGGAGCAAGGGAAGTCTTGTCATATATTGAAAGGAGCAAGGGTAGTCTTGCCATATATTGAAAGGAGCATTGGGAGTCTTGTCATATACTGAAAGGAGCAAGGGGAGTCTTGTCATATACTGAAAGGAGCAAGGGGAGTCTTGTCATATATTGAAAGGAGCAAGAGGAGTCTTGTCATATATTGAAAGGAGCATGGGGAGTCTTGTCATATACTGAAAGGAGCATTGGGAGTCTTGTCAAATATTGAAAGGAACATGGGAAGTCTTGCCATATATTGAAAGGAGCATTGGGAGTCTTGTCAAATATTGAAAGGAGCATGGGAAGTCTTGCCATATATTGAAAGGAGCATGGGGAGTCTTGTCATATACTCGGTGAAGACTGAGGTCTACCCACTGTGAAGCTGCACCTGTTAGCAATACCATTATTTAGGTGTAGTCTTCTTCTTCAGCGATCTCTGGTCATGCGCATAATCCACTGTGGGTCATAAACTGGGATGTCTTTTCAAGGTCTCTTAGGTTTCCCCAAAGCTTAGTTGTCAGTTCTACTGGGTGTTGCCATATGTCGCTCCGCAGCTCCGCCAGGAGAGGACAGTCTTGCAGGACATGTTCTGGAGTCTGTTCAGCACGAAGACACTGGCAGAGAGCTGTTTGGCTCATACCTAATTTATATGAGTGTTTATTGAGTCTGCAGTGTCCAGTGCGTAAGCGAAAAACTGTGACTTGGTCTGTTCTGTTCAAGTGCCTCAGAAAATCTTTTCCGTAGTCATAACCAGTGTTGTGTTTTTCCAGTCTGTTTCTGATTTTCTCTTAATGAGAGTTTTGACTTCTGGAAAAGATAGTGGCTGGTAGGTCTGTAGTTTGTTACTGCCTTCCTTGGCTAAAGCATCTGCGCTTTCATTGCCTTTGATGCCACAGTGAGACGGAATCCACTGCAAGTGAATTTCTGCCTTATTTGACAACATAGCAAGTTCCTGTGTTATACTTTGTAGTGTGCTGTCGGTAGGTTTGGACTCAAGGGCCTGTACAGCTGACAGTGAGTCAGTGAGAAAAACTATCCTGCCTGCGGTGATTTGCAGATTGTTCATATACTGTGCTGCCATCAATAGAGCTGAGAGTTCTGCCTTGTAGTTAGAGCAAGTACGTCCGGTGGGGGCTGCTAGGGACACAGTAGTGGCATCTGGGTGTTTTATGTAGACACCTGCCCCACCATTCGTAGTTGCTTCTTTTGCTGATCCATCCGTGTAGATTCTTGTCCAGCTGTCCTGTGGGAACATGTTGTTGAGGTGTTCTATTGTGAGTGCTTTCTTCACTAAAGCGGGCTCAGCATCTTTGTTTCCCAGGTTCGGGATGGATGTTGACACATTGAGTGTCAATAATTTGGAGTCCCAGAGATCGAAAGATAGCTCTTCAGGTGTACATTGTTGGTTAAGTAGTGAAGAGAATGACTTTCCAAATTCCTTCGTTAGATGGTTTAGGCTTTTGCGCTTTATTCTGTTTTTTGTCCTGGCTGCCAATTTTTCGTGTAATGGGTGGTTTAACATTCTCTTCATTTTTCAGCATGTAGAATTGCTTTTGTCCTTCTTCTTTCTTCTAAGGGGATGATGTTGGCTGCCTTTTCCATTTCTACAATAGGTGTAGATTTTATGGCTCCCAGAATTGTACGCAGACTTCTATTTTGCGTTTTGTCTAGTATCTGTTTATTGGAATGGGCTGCTGTTATCCATGACGATGATGCGTATTCGAGAGTTGGTCTGACTGTGCCGGTGTATACCTGCTTCAAGATACAACTGTCTGCTCCCCAAGTGGTGCCTGCCAATTTCTTCATCACACCTTGTTTTCTCATGGCTTTTTTGTTAGTTTCTAGTATGTGATGTTTCCATGTCAGACGACTGTCAAGCTTGACTCCCAGGGAAGGTTGGAGTATTGGAGCGTGGAACAGCATCATTGTTGAATTTTAATGTAAACTTTTCCTCCTTTGTAGACAATGAGAAGAGTGTTGCTACAGTTTTGTTCCTGTTTACTTCGAGGCCCCATTTGTTGGCCCAGTTTATGACACTATTCACACTTTCCTGGAGTTTTGATATAGCAGGTCCAATGAACTCAGAGGTGTACCACACAGCTAGGTCATCTGCATGAAGAGAATGTGATACATGTCTGGGTAAAGTTTGAGGTAGGTCGTTGATGTAAATCAGGAACAGGACTGGAGACAGTACACTACCCTGTGGTACTCCTGCTCTCAGCTTGAATCTGGGACTATGTGCTTCATCTAGTTTCACAGATGCCCGCCTGTGTGATAGGAAGTCTTGTATCCAGTAGTACATTCTGCCTCTTATTCCACTATGTAAGAGCTTTAGCATCAAGCCATCCTTCCATACTTTGTCAAAGGCCTTGGACATATCAAAAAAGACTGTGAGGGTTTTCTTCTTTTCCTGGAAGCCATTTTCTATGTCCTGTGTAAGGTATGCTACCTGGTCATCAGTGCTTCTGTGCTGTCGGTAGCCTGTCTGAGCGGGATCCAGTTTGTGATTGGTTTCTAGGAACCACTGAAGTCTGGTGGCTAGCACTCTCTCCATCAGTTTTGCGGGGCAGCTTAGCAGACTGACAGGCCTGTAGCTCTGAGGGTCCTTCTTGTCCTTGCCACTTTTGAGGATAGGGTGGATTATAGCATTTTTCCAGATATCTGGGACTCTGCCTAGTTTCCAGCTATAGTTGTATATCTGGAGTAAGATGTTTTGTGCTACTGGACCCATATGTTTGAGCATGTCGTTTGAAACTTCGTCTGGGCCAGGTGCCTTCTTTGACTTGAGTTTTCTCATTGCTCTTAGTAGCTCAGTTAGAGTGATGTCTGTCTCCATGCATGGCTCACAAGAGGCTTTTTTGAATATGGAGTTTATCCCATCTCGGACTGCTTTCTTTTGCTCCAGGGTTACTGAATATGAGCTTTCTTTCTCGTAGTTTCGGGCCATCAGAGTCGCTGCTTCCTTCCCTGTGAGTAGATTTCCTTCTTGTTGGAGAACTGTTTTTCCATGAGATGGGTTGTCATCATTAAGTGCCTTTGTCAGTCTCCACAATTTTGTGGTGTCTTTTTCCATGTTCAGAGAAGCAGTCTTTTCTTTCCAGGACTTTCTACACTGTAGGTTTCTTTCTCTGACATAGAGAGCCCTTGCTTTGTTGTGTTGCTTCACATGTTCGTCTGTTGGATCAGCTTCCATGCTATCTCTAGCATCACAGAGCGAACCGTGAAGCACTTCCAGTTCTGGTGACCAATATGGCTTGTAATTGTGCCTCTTTCCTCTAGGAATGTTTTTTTTTTTGCTGCATTCAGTATGGCCTTGTTGAATTCTTGTGCATCTCTGTCAACCTTACCTGAAAGGCTGATTGCTTTGCAGTTTGAGTCTGCAAGTTCTTGAAAAAGTTTCCAATCTGCCTTTTTGTAGTTCCAGCTTGGTGCAGTATCTGGAGATTTTTCTATTTTAAGGCTGTTTATCAGAATCTTCACTGGCCTGTGGTCACTGCCTCCTAACTGGTCGCACACCTGCCTAACAGATATCTTATGGATGTCGTCTGTTGCAAATGCTAGATCAGGTGTGCTTGTTGTGCGCCACCGTCTAGAGTAGTGCGTATGCGGGTCATCAGGGTGATTGAGAAGGGTGAGACAGTTTGTGATTAGCCACTCCTCAAGATTTTCTCCACGAGCATCTAAACAGTCATAACCCCAGCTGGGTGAGTGACTGTTCAAATCTCCGATAATTAGCAAGTTGCTCTCTTGAACCTGTATAGCTTCAAGTTCGGTGGGGGGGGGTAGGTGGTGAGTAAATGTTGTAGACTGACATATTTTTATTTTTTAGTTGCAGCTGGACAGCAATGAATTCAGTATTCAGCTGGTTGGATCTATGTAGTTCAACCGCTGGTATTGAATTACGAACCAGCGTGGCAACCCCACCTTTATGTCTATTTTCTCTGTCTTGGCGAAATATTTCATATCCTCTAATATGAAATCTTTTACTTGGGTTGAGGTGCGTCTCTTGAATGCAGATAACGTCGATTTTTTCTGCTCGCAGGCGTTCCTCTAGTTCTCTCTTTTTGTTAAATACGCCTTCGGCGTTCCACTGCATGATTACAAGTGGTGGAAGTGTGTCCTCGCAGTTAGAAGTGACACCCTGTCCTCCCCTAGCAATGCTGGAAGCCGCGGGGCTGTTGGTGGCTAAGGGTAAACCTATTTGAGATGTGAGAGCGAGTCCCGCTTTCACTTGATTGTTACCCAACGTGGTGGTACCACTATTGGATAAATATTTGCGCATGGCCATTGAGTTAACCGTATGTGTCGATTCCTCCCCACCAAATATATGGTTGACACATTCCGTTTCTGGGGACAGCTTTTATCGAGTTTGCTCTCTAGACAGTTGCAGTCCCCTGCTGACGAGATTCTGTCTTCCCGAGTGGACCGCCGCGATCAAAACATTGCGAAGGCAGCGTGGTCGAGGCTGCCAAAACTATCGGTCATTATCCCGCCCCGACACAGCACAACCACAATACACGCTGTTCCCACGAAAAACACATAATATCCTGCGTTGGAAATGCGCATAAAATAGCAGTCCATTATTATAGAACAGAATAATCCGAGAGAATTGACAGCCAGCGAAAATAAACACAGCTGCTGTCCGCCATTTTGAAAACGGAAGAGCATTTTTTTTTTTTTTTTCAATGACATGAATGTCTGGGCTGTGGTCACTATTTAGGTGTAGTGACCACAGCCCAGACATTCATGTCATTGAAAAAAAAAAAACTGTCCTTGTGGGTAAAACTACTTTCTCAGGGTAACATAATCAAGAGGTGGAGACCAGCAGCTCTGCAGGAAGACAAGGACATATTAGATAAAGTAAGTTAGTCGTCATATGTTTTAAACTGTTTTAAACTAGTTGTTATTAGTATTATTATTATTCTTACATTTTCAGCGAAAATCCAAATCCAACAAGGTGTTCAGTGGGGCAAGACAGAACTCTCTTGTGAATGGCTACCGGTTCTCTGCAGCCTGCAAATCCTCATCTGTTGACTTGGGCAGTCTGATCCGCAGCCGGCTGCAGTCTCTGGACATGACACAGGGAGACTACAGTCAGTATTGCTGAATTCTCTTTCTCTTTGATTTGATTTTCCTTGGAATTGCAACCTAAAATCCCCATGCTTGTTCCAGGGTCCATTTCTTGGTGAAATAAAATAGACCTATTGCCCCTGATAACGTCATAAAAAGCGAATAAGGAATGTTTTGTTAAAATCAGATTTTGGCACTGAAGATGCATATACAGCAGCCTAGTCGTAAATCACAACATAGTGTGCCAACCACCCTGTTGAATGTGTGAATGCAGAAGAAGTCTGAAATTGTGAAACACAGTGACTCAAAGAGCTACTTTTCATATGCAAATCCAACAAAGTTTGTTTTTAGTCTGAATTCTCATCATGGACTCTGTACTGGAGTATCTGATAATATAATATATAAATTATTTAAATTACTTTCCAAGAGGACACAACTCTGAAGATAAAATCAACTCACAAGAAAGAAACAGACCACTATATTTAGACTGCACACTGGACACAAACGACGCTGCAGCCATATGTACAAGAAATTAGGGAGTGTGGATCTAGAACTTTGCCCATGTGGACAGACTCCACAGAATACTGAATATGTGCTACTGACGTGGTCTCTACCTGCAGTAGAAGAATACCAGTTTGACCTGCTGGCATTCCAATGGACACCAAGCAGTATGGAACATTGGAAGACACTTGTCGCACTCCAGATTCCATGGAGAAGTGTGACCTTCTAGTCTGAAAACCACTGACAGGAAGAATGAAAAGAAGAAGAAATGCAATGAAATAATATTAGTTCACTTTTTATTCTTGTTATTTGTCTTCAGTATTCCAGACTTTAGATTCCGTGCTGCAGATATCACCTGCCTCCATTAATTTATGGGACTGCCCTTCTCTTTCCGCTTAAAAAAAAAAAAAGGTAAAGTCGGGAGAAGTGAACCAGCGTCATTGCACTTGGTTATAAACCATAAGTGCTCTGCCAACAGTACGGACAGCTGATATGAATTTGTCCGCCTGTGTCGCCGTTCGCACGTAACTCCGTAGCTACAGCGACGTTTCTCCATTTACCCCAGAGTGTTAACTCTGGTACCCATTTCCTAGAGGCTGGGTGTACCCCGGGAACCGCCCGGTTTCGAACACCGGCTGTGGGCTGCAGCGAGTCGCAGCTGGATTTGAAAGCGAGTCTCCTATTGACTGCGCTAACGCGGCCCCGGATATTTTCTTCTTTCGTTCGCTGGAAATAGATTATCTAAATCTGCAACTCTGTCTTTAGTTTTCGTATCTCTGCACCGTCTTTTTTCGGTCTGTCTCGTGGTACATTCGCATTTCCTTGTGTACATAATTTTTGCTTCTCTGTTATCTGCAATTGCCTCTATATATTCCAGACATTGCAGTTTGTGATCTTTCATGCTGCCAGTTGAAAATTTTTTGTGACGTTTGCTCTTTTTTAATACTTTTGTGTTTTCAGGTGAAGTGAAAATTCGTCGCAACATCTTGTCATACGTCATTACAAATCCTTCTCCTTCAGAGAAACTCAGAGTTGGTGATATTATGTAAGTAGCAAACCTTCTAGGTTTCCTTCTTGTGTCTTTCATTGTTACTGTTGCATGTGTCATAGTTACTGCTGCACCTTGATAATTACTATTGCATCTATTATAGTTACTATTGCATCTATTATAGTTACTATTGCATCTGTTGTAGTTACTGTTGTGCCTGCCATCGTTACTGTTGTACCTGTCATTGCTACTGTTGTGCCTGTCATTGTTACTTTTGTGTGTATCCTTGTTAATCTTGTGTATGTCATTGTTAACATTGTCTGTCACTGTCATCCTTGTATTTTTCATCGTTTACCTTTGTGAATGTCATTGTTTTCCAAGTAAGTCATTATTATTGCTGCATTTGTCATGTTAACATTGCTTTACTCCATATCTAGCTCGTCACACTGCTGCTATTGCTCCTCCTCATGCTCCTTCTTCCTTCATTTGCTGCTGCTGTTTCTCCTTCTCTCCATTCTCTGTCTTCTCTTGCTCTGCCAGATCTCATCTCCTTTCTTCTCTTCCACTTTCTTTTAACTTTTCTACCACCCATTCTTTTCCCCGTCTCTTAATTTTGCTCATTACTTTCATATAGTAAGCCTTTAAAGAGAAATAACGATCATTATTATCTTTTTTATTTGTTTTAAGAATGAGAAATGGCCCGTCACACTCGGTTTTCTAACTTAAATTACCGTATTTGTTCCCTGTATAAGAAGATGGTATGTTTTCCAAAATTTCAAAGTTTAATAAGGTGGATGCCTTAAACACGGAATGTGATTATAAAATCTATTTCTTAATTTCCAGCTAACAAATTACCCCCCCCCCCCCCAAAAAAAAAAAAAAAAAAAAAAAAAACTAGGGACCGTCTTATATACGAAACAATACTGTAAACTGTGTGGCGCATCCACTGTGAAGGTTGGTGACAGTATATCCATTGCTGTCTTTGGAAATAATTACATAGCGGTGCCCCAATCTCTTCCACGGTGTAACTCAACCAGAGCTGGATTTAGACATGATAAGTCCCTAAGCTGAATGAAGACCCTACCGTATAACATCAGTTAATCTCATAAAACTTTAAAATATAAAAGAGGGAAAATAGGGTCATTTACAAAGTTAGCAATGGATACATAGTAATCAACTTCCATTGGGATATCTGCACTATTTTTAATTAAATTAATTTTTCTCCCCCTGAACTTTGTCCTTGGCAGCTATGTGATTCAGCCATCCTCCATGTGGGCAACTCCCAGCAGGCAGCAGTACTTTCTCCATCGCAGCCACAGTGCCCCTAAGATGAGCTCGCCCAGCTTACACAATCTGGACAGGAAGAACGGAGTCCTTAAGACCCCTAGCAAAGAAGGCCACTTTGATTCAGTTATCTTCAGCCAGGGCGAAGAAACCGAAACTTGAGTGGAAACCCTGTGCCTTCTGCTTGTAATTAATAGCTCTATAGTCCTACTGCCTCCTCCCCCCCACCCCCACACCCACCACCAACAAGCATGAGATGAATCTCAACTAATTTGGGATGTTTCCTTCCAAGTAGGAGGTCATCTGCCTGAGAGGCGAGGAACCAACAGTCTACTTTCAAATAAACCAAATCTGTCAAACAGATGTACACAACTCAAGTTCTGAAACAAGATTAAAGTCCGGAAGTGGGCGAACAACCAGAACTTTCCACCGAATGTACAGCCGGTGAATGCGAAGAGGAAGAAGATAGATGTCGAATCAATTTCATGATGGATCGAGGAGTAAAATTAGGACCGTAGAGATAAACCAACAGAAACAGACTTAGACAATGATATTGCTTTCTTTATACCATTCCATTTAGAAAATTAACTGAGTCAAAAAAAAAAAAAAAAACCTGAAGAATCACGTGTCTGTCATATGGTGCAAATATTGTAGCTCTTTTGTAAACAGACACAATGGAATTGTACCACGTAGAAACAATTCATACAAATACAACTAAAATGAATCTACTATGAAACATGTGAAATGGGATGGCGATGAGAAATGAATAAATCTAATGTTTTGGTGAAACTTGACGTTGATGAGAAGAAAGAAAATCAAATGTGATAGTGATATATGAAACGGTTGAGAATAAATGTAAAAACTAATGTGATGGTGAAACACGAGGGCTTTAGAAAGAGATAAAAACAATATATGATGTGGTGGTGAAGCATGAGGGCAGCAAAAAGAGATTAAAAAAAAAAAAAGACTCACAGAATGTGATGGTGAAACATGAGGGCGACAGAAAGACATGAAAGAAAATCAATATTATGTGATGGTGAAATATGAAGGCGATAGAAAGTGATGAAAAAAAAAATATAATGTGATAATGAAACATGAGGGCGAAATAAATAAATAAAACAAAAATCTAACGTGATGGTGAAACATGAGGGCGATAGAAAGAGATGAATAAAATGTTTATGTGATGGTACGTAATGAGAAGAGATGAAGAAAAAAGCCTGGCAACAGAACCTGCTTTTATACCTCCATGGCATATTGAGCCTATGTAAGAAAGTGATGTTTTCTACGTTATGTTTTGATCATTTAGATGCAGATAAACGAGATGAAAACCATCTCTACAAAATTAGCCTTGACTGAAAGGATTTGTAATGTATGCTGGGTAATTCCAGACTATCAGCATTCAACAGATATACGTATATTTCCAGTACGTATATATTTAGTTATATTTGCCAACAGCATCTCTATTTTGATTTTGTCGTGTTCTAATGTTTTACTGCCACAATTTGCATTACATATCTAACGTCTTCTGTATTTTTGAGCTGCTGTTGTTAATGCATTTTGATTGATGTTGCCTGTCCGTTCACTCTATTGATATGTATATATGTATTTTTTTTTAAAAGTTTTCAATCATTTGTATTTGTATAATAAAAGTCATTTGGTAAATTATTCGTTCATGACGCTAGAGAAACTTGTGTAGCACTAGAAAATTTAGCATCCAGCAATCATTTACTCATTCAATTCTTTCAGTCTTTGATGGTCTTCTATTGAAACTCAGTCCGTTCAAGCGGCTGCTACTTGAAGCTAATACATGTTGCGTCTAAAACGAGTTTCAAAGACTGGTGGATACAAAGAGTTAAACATTTGGGATACTGTCTATTACAGGAAACAAAAGGGGAGGGGGAAGGGGGATCTTGGGTCTCAAGCTTGAGGATTTAGGACTGCAAGTCGCAGTGCCTATAGACTAGGTAGGTTAGAACTTTTTGTTGCTGTTGTTGCTTCCGACAGAAAACAACCCATGGCCTTACCAATTATTGGAACCTGGGTCTCCCGAATAAGAGCATAGCACCAATTTGTCTGTTAGTTTAGATTATCGTCATCGCACATCGAACCATTCAGTCCATAAGTGCTCAGATCCCCTCTTCGGTATCTCTCTCATCGTATAGTGGCTTATGACACCAGTTCCTTGTTGGTTTAATATTCTTCTTTGGGCTCCTGTGTAGCGCTCTTGTCTGCCTCCCCCCCCCACCCTTTTTTTGATATTATGTCAGTGTAGTCTCGGCAGTGTTGCAGAGTCACAATCATTACTTGATTAGTTTAATCGATCTGGCTCACTGAGGGCATTCAGTATATCAGCCTGTTCATTGCTCCTCAGTTTTCCACGTGAGCATCCCTTGCAAGTCTGTCAGCACGTTCATTGCCCTTTACACCAAAATTCCCAGGAACAAATATGAAATCTGATTTTTGTCAGCTTAGATATATTCAGGGACTCCACCCATTGTCTTTGTACGCAACACTGATTTGTATGGAGGTTACTTGACTGCATACTAAAGTGCAAACATTTTGACCATCCTTCGTATACATATTTAGGTAATTTACTCCTTCAGTGCAACCTAAAAACTTGATGTTGTGGCAGGGCATACCAGACTCTTACTTAGCCTTTGACTTTGTTGGCAGCTGCTCTAGGATGGAAGCTCAGAAAGATGGACGTACAGAACACTGCTCTTCTGATCTGATAGCTTAGCAGCATGCTTTGTTGCAAATGTACTGATGTTACCTTTTCTTTGGAGTAAAAAAGGCAGGATGAGAGAGGGCTCATGTTGCATGGGCAAAGCATCACCTATACAATTTTGTCCACGCTTTATGTTGTTGTGGTGGGGAGGGGGGGGGGGGGGGGGGGGCTAACCATTGAAAGTGTGGTTTCCATTTCTTCTTACAAGTAATGAGGCACAAAACATGTGAAAAGATGCATATACAGGGTATGTATCATCAGCGCTGTACGGACTGGGCTTATGGATATTGACTAATCGCTGACGCTAACACGATTGCGTGACATTGAAGTAAAGCATGGTGAAGCACGTCTATGCCGCCTTCGAGGCCGAGATAGGAGACAAAACCAACCTCTCATAAAAACAGTTAGTTGAAATATCCTGAAGTGGTTGCTGCATCAGAGGAACTAAGCACGCAAGGGAATGCTTAATGTGAAGTAACGTCGACTGTGATAACATAGCATGAACGGTTAGTGCTCCATTCCCTTGCCAAAATCAACACAAAATAGCCTGCTGCCAAATTGCTTGCAGTCTGAATCAAACCAGGTATTTCCGAATTACGAAGTGCGTTTGCAACAGCTGAGCATCAGTTGTTGATTTGTCTGCCTACCATCATCATTCAGTGCCTTGCCGACTGTCGTCGATGATCATGCCACTTGTAACAATCTGCGATCTTCAACATCATGTCACACCCCCCCCCCCCCAATGCCATGTCAAAAGGCTGTTAAGAATTGTCTGTCTTTGCTTTCTTCTATTAGCACCCCCACCCCCCACCCAAACAGATCTTTCGTGGTCACAGCATGTTAAAGTTTCCCTTTTCTCATAACATGACATACACACAAATGACGACTGTCTCTTTCAGATATCTGTGATAAGTTGTCTTCAGGCCCTCACCTCTTTAAAAAAAAATATATATAGATTGCCGGCTTTGGCTGTCAAATGAATTCTGATGATTCTTCCTTAAAACCACATTTCAGAGGTCTGGATAAATTTGTTTGGCTTGCTGAATAACTGTCCAGGATTCCAGCCATATGTTAAAACTGATTCTCTATAGCATGCGAGAATTCCTTTTCCAGCATGGAGGTTGTAGCACAGTACAACACTATTAGACTGGACGGTTTTGCACCGCTTGATGGTGAATTGATGTATGACAAGCTAGATGTTGTGAAAGCCCTTTGGGAGCGAGTGAACAATGTGGAGGCACACATAAATTATTACGGTCTGAGTAGAATGGTGCTGCAAGAAGTTACCAGGGAAAGGCGAGAGGGATATACATCAGACATTTACTAGTACCGTCGGAACTAGAACTCCTAGCTTGCTTCTGAAGATAGGGAGTGTCCTCAGTGCTACGATGTCGATCATAATTCAACATTTACCTGTAAAGAAACCAACCACTCAGGGAGAAGAAGACCCAAACAAAGACCCTCTGTATTCACCCAATGGTGCCACACCCTTACGCCACTCTCCACCTCTCTTATGTCTTTAACATTTTTTACCCCCCCCCCCCCCCCCCCCCCCCCCCCCCACCCAAAAAAAAAATCGCAAATATTTTCAACAAGAACTTGGAGAAAAACATAAAACATAATTCAAAATTCAAATGAGAAATTGAAATACTCATAGTGCCGAAAATCATGATTATTACAAGTACAAATGTACTTAATTTCAAAACTATTTGACACCCCCATCCCTTCCCCTTTTCCTTACGACCCTTTTCCCAATAGCAGTGTTGCCACTTTTCTTTGACAAAAACATCCAAAACGGAGTAAAAAAATATCTATACACATCTAAATTTGCGTGGAAAACATCTAGAAAAAAAAACTTCAAAATGGAAAGGGTCACAAATTACACAGCAATTGATATCTTACCCTATAGAATCATGTCCTCATCTTTACTGAAGTCTGCCTTACAAGATCCACAGGATAAACTTAGCTTGGATGATGAAGGTGAATCTTCATATCCAAAATGACTCTGGTAGGCTTTAGCTGTTCCAATTTCTTATAATACCCAATCAGGAAGCTGATAAAAGGAATAACCTTTTCCTACTCTTATCAGGTCGAATTTTATTGTCAAGATAGCATTTAATTTCATCCTGTTTCTTAGGTTAGATTTGATAAATTCACTCCAAATGAAAAACTTCTAGAAAAACATCTACCATTTAAACGTCAAAAACGCCATCTAAATGCAAGGGAAAACATCTAAATCTGGATGTTAAACATCCAAAGTGACAACACTGCCCAATATAATGAAAAGAGATGAATGACAGCAATATAATCCTATTAGGGACTGGCTAATAAACCGCCCAATGAAAACCAAAGACATAAACAACAACAAGTATGACGCGCATGACTGTCCTCAGGTTTCACTTCCGGGAGTTGACATCTGCTGGAAGAGGCAGGTCTGGTATTCTTCTTCTCTATTTTTCTTCTGCCACTCACCTTATCCAAGTTTATGGGGCAGATGAAAAGATCTTCTGTGAGCTCTTTCTTCTATTGCCTGTTTAAGTTGGCCTTTATTTAATGCTATTCCTGATGCTGTCGTTCCATATTTTGCATGCTCTTCTCTTTGCTATAAACATTGCTCTTACCTCTGTGTTTACCATTTCTCAAGTAAAATCAGGAAGATGCAATTTATGTTTATTGGCAGACAAGGGTAACTTGTAGTTTTGCATCCTTAACTAGCCGGATCATATCTATGATTGATGATATTATTATACATCTTTGAAGTAAAGATATATACTTACATTTGTAATAACCTTTTTTGATTGACTATTGTTAAATGGAAAACAAAACAGTTTGTTGTAGTAAAGTAGGCGGGGGTTATAATGGAGAGGTTCAACTTCTTGCACCGGGTTTTATCCCATATGGCTCGATCTCTCCTGTGTAATAAAAATAATCAAAAACAAATCATTTTATACTTTGCAGATTAATTCAAACTAAAAGCATTATATAAATGGTATAAGTTAAATATGGGCGTTGAGGGAGCAGTGGAAAAGTAAATGAGAATAGAGAACGAGTGGCTGAATTGTGTATGCACTCAGATCTTCTAATTGGAAGCCTCATCTTTGCTCATAAGATTCATAAACCAGGTTGGCACTCACCAGATAGTATGACAGGGATAAATAGACAAACTAATATAGAAGCTTTTTGATCCATGTCCAAGCATGCATAGGAGCAGATGGTGAAACCGACATTGACTAGGCGGAGAACACACAGTTGGAATATTATGGCAGCCATGAAATATCCTTATGGGGCTCAGTTCTTTTAAAAAAATGCCAGCTCCGTATAACGAAACAAATACTCTAACAGGGTCTCAGCGATATGTTACTTGCGGACCTGTTTTTTTTACTTTGCCTCACTGCCGACCGTATCCCCTGTGCCGCTACGCACGGCGCAGATAGGGGCTAAACTAGATGGCTGGGACTCACGAGCAGCAGCTACCACATCTCCTGCAACTTCCTCCAATTAATTTGCTCGTGGGTCCCAGGCACCTAGTTTAGCCCCCCATCCGTGCGTAGCGGCGCGGAGATTCGCTCGGCGATGAGTTTAATTGCGTTTTGCGCATGCTATTATCGTCTGCTACTATCATCTGCAGAAACGCTCAAAATTGTCAACGGTCGCTATTATTGTCTGCTACTATCGTCTGCAATGTTGCATCCCTTGAAATTGTCAAGTAATTCTAGTTTTGCCGCGATTTGTTCCTTGGCAGAAAGTCCACATTTTACATATGCCTGAGCCCCGTTAGGATATTTTATGGCCGCCATAATATGGGGTCGAAGTTTGGAGGAGAGCCAAGATTTCTATTTCGCTGATGATGTTGTTGTGCTAAGTGAAAACAACAGTGATGTGCACAGAAAAACAGATGATTAGGCAAATATAGCATAATGGTAAATAAAAACAGAGAACGGCTTGCTGAAGTCTGGGCATCCTTGCAACAGCGACCCTAGGGGATGCAATTTATTGTGAGTTAACATTACTACAAGGGCAGATCCCAGAGACCCTAATCCATTGTTTGAGTAAGTTCACATAATACTAATATTCTTTTATATTTAATATTGTTTGAAATTAGGGCTAAATCAAACCTTGCTCTAATCTCAAACTATATTAAATATGAAAGAATATTATCATTACGTGAATGTACACAAAGAATGGATATTCTCCCTTTCACTTGCTGTAAACAATCATTGATTGTGTCCCCATGAGGGCCGCTGTTGCAAGAATTTGCAGAATTCTGTGTGCATTCAGATCTACTAACTGCAGGCCCCATCTTTGCTCATAAGATTCATAAAGTAACTTGTCACTCACCAGATAGTATGACAGGAAACAAATAGACCACCTGTGTATAAAAAACAAATACAGAAGCTCTTTGGATGTCCAAAGCAGATGTGCGCGGTGAAACTTGCATTGTATTGGTGGAGAACAGTGTTGGAGGATCTCTGTTTTGCTGATGATATTGTTCTGCTTAGTAAAAACAACGATGATGTTCAAAGAAAAACAGATGATTTAGCAAATCTAGCACCAAAACAAAAGTTGGACTACACATAAGTCATAAAAAGACACACACATGCATATATATATATATATACATATATACACACACACATACACACACACACACACACACACACACACACACACACACACACACACACACATATATATATATATATATATTGAAGAAACCAATAATAGATCAAGCAGATGTAACACTAGAGACAAAAGGAATTCAAGTAACAGATCAGTTTTCTTATTTAGATAGTAATTTTGATAGTAAAGGAAATAACACTTAAGAGATTATGACATGCACTGGCAAGGCATCAGCAGCTTGAATTAGCCTGAACAAAATATGAAACTCTAAATTGTATAAACTAAGTTACGTGTTTTCAGTTCTGATGTTATTTCAATTTCAACATATACCAGTGAAATTTGGAGAACCACTAGAGAAGTAGAACAAAAGTTAATTGCATTTAAAAAACAAATGCCATAGGTGAATGTTCCAGAAGTTCTTACAATAGATGGTTAATTTTCTCCTTCGTTAACCGAGCCGTATGTGGTCTAGCATCGCCACGAAGGAGCAGAACTCCTCTAGTCAGCAGACTGGACATTTTCTTCAAATTGCATCATGAAGCATTGATAGAACTTAACAGTATGAATCAGCATTCACATTGTCACCTATTCTTTATTTTTTTTTTCAAATTGGTAAAAAGCACTTCTTGACAATCCCAGAACACTGTCACCATAACCTTCCCTGCTTATGGTGTAATCCTAAATTGTTCAACACAAGGCAAAGAAGGATGTTTCCATTGCATTAAAGCACGCTTTGATTCGAGCCATCTTGAGCACACTTTCCTAATTTTCAATTGATCGTGCATTATGTTGAATGCTGAACCATGTGAGCACCCTATTGCAGCTGCTTCAGAGTCAGCCATTACTCACCAGTCTACTCTAATCATCTCCTCCACTCACTGCACGGATGCGTCTATTGCAGCTCAACAGGACGACCAGATTGGACTTCATCAACAGTTTTAGAGCATCCTTGAGAATATATTGTTACCCAGATATGCACTGCTTTATGGGATAAACATTTATCAGCATAAACAGGAAGTATTTCCTTTTGAATGTCCTTTGCAGGTATCCCTTTTGCCACCCTCCCCCCTCCCCCAAAAAAAACCACATGCACAACAGCACATTGTTCTTTGAAGGTACACTACGTAAGTAAAGTCGCCATTATGTTTCTGTGTTGTGAATGCCCATGCAACACCTACCGCCACCTAACGAACAGAGACATAAATTTCAATGTTGCTGTCACCTAATGACACCTTAAAAAAACCACCAACTACATTTTCCTGCCATCTCATAACAATTTGTGACTTAATTATTGACTTTCCCTCGTAGGACATTGCAGAACCAACTCCAGGATTTGTGTATGTGTGTGGATATTGCAGTTTTTCTAGGCAAATTTATGTTCTTTAGTTTGCTAATGCCTACTGAATGGTCAGCTCTCGTTATTATTTTCACAACCAATGCAATGCGGTCTGCTGCCAGATCATCTGCAGCTGGGGTCAAACCTGGCACTCTTTCTTTACAAAGTGCATTCGCAATGACTAAGTACACACGCACGCACCACACACACACACACACAAGGTCCTGTTTAGTATTGGACTTGGGTCACTTATCCCAGAACTAATATAGTATATAGTATAAGTACATTATTTTTAATCTTCATGTTTTCACTGAAAGTATGCCATGCACACACGCACACGTGTATGTGTGAACGTGAATGCACACATACATGCGCACACACATGAACACACATATATTAGTAGAAATATCAGTAGTTGAACTTTCAACTTTCCTGCAAATGGGTCATTCCATAATTGCTCTACTCCTGTGCCACTGAACATCAAATAAGAACAATGACACTTGACCTTGTATAATATTGTACTCGGTTGACTTATCACAAAACTAATGTTGTCTCCAGAATCCCGGCTGTGACCTAGAGAGAGGGAGACTCTGCTTCCTGGAAGTGGTGGCCAGAATGCCTTCAAGGAAGCGGAAATGTGAACACAGCAACAGTGATGACACCCTTACCAAGAAGAGCAGGTCATCTGTTGTTTTGTTACAGGGATATAGGAATACATGGCTGAGTGGTTATAATACTAAGCTCTCTCACATGATACCTGGTTCTGATCCCCAGTTAGTGATGGTGATATTTTTCTATCAGGGGACACAAATAAAAATTCAAACCTGTTTAGTTCATGGTGATGGTAATAGACATGCAGCATTTACCCTTTGGCCCCATGAGTGCTAAAAAAGGCCAAACTTAAATACGTACATGGATTCTTGCAGGATATGCACCTAATCCCGGTTCACGTATTCTTACACGTTATTTCATCTAACCTTGTGTCTTCTGTCTGCATTCTTTCATAAGTGGTCTTCAGAGCGTCTTCTTTGTCCAGTACCAGTGTACCTATAGCTATCACTTTTGTAGCCTGGAAATGTGCTCTTTTATTTCCTCACACTCCTGCATATCCCAAACAGTATATCCACATAAGTTCCTCTAATGTTGATGTGCTGATACTTTGGTATCCATTCATGCCACATTTGTCCATTTTGAACCTTCTGCAGTACGGACTGAGAATCAGACACACAAATTCCTCTGGTAACTGTATTTTTTGCTGCCCACATTAGGGCTTCAATCATTGCCTTCACACCTCTGTCCTCATGAAGTTGTAGATAAAAAAGCTCCTTTCTGTTGTGTTGTGATCTTTTCCTTTGCTCTAGCTGAAAATCCCCACTCAGACACTCCCACCAGCCATCCAGCATTTAATTATTGTTTTAAATTTAACTTCTAACATTTAGCTATTATTTTTCTTTCAATGTCTAACATCTGAGTATTGTTTTGTTTCAGATCCAACTTTTATGTCGTATTTTTGTTTCAATATCCAACATCTAAGTATTTTGTGTTTGTTTCAACATCCAACACTTGTTAGGTCTCACCCCCTGCCCTCTCCCCAGCCCCCACAAATATCCAACATTTAGGTATTGTTTTTGTTTAACATCCAACATTTCAGTATTGTTTTTTATTTCAACATCCAGCATTTAAATACTGCTTTTGTTTTCAGCGTCCACCATTCACATATTGTATTGTTTAACAGTCAGACCATTTTGTGCTGATTTCAACAATGGTATGGAAACCCGACCATTTAATATGCAGCAGCAGCACAAGCTACTAAGCGTAAAATTTCCTAGAAAAACTACAAAAGCCACACACACAAAAAATAAATCTGTGGTTGGTTCTGCAGCGTCCTGTGAAGCATATGCAACTATAACTTTTTTTGTTTGTTTGTTTCAACATACAATATTTAGGTCAAGAAGTGAGTCCTCTACAGAATTTAGCAGGAAACGATGTTTATCCTGGTTTCATGAATACACAGGTAAATTTACAAAAAATTTTTCTGCGCTGACATTGTTGAGTGAGTTGGGGAAGTTGGAAAGTTGGACTTTAGTTTTGTCTTAGCTTTGTTGTAACCATTGCTTCGGAATATGTATGTATGTGAGTTGTACCCCACTAGGACATGACACAAGCGATCAACACCAAGTGACACAAAGTGCCACAGTGCGGATGAGGATCAACCGTGGAGAGGTCCCAGAAATCCCTTTCAGCTATTAAGCCATATCTACGGCTAGGTCATATTTAGGCCCACATATATTCGGGGTCCCCGGCAAAAGCCAGAGTGGGGCTTCAAATAACAAAAAATTACGTCCCACATAGGGACGACTAACAATAACTTGCTTCAGAATATTCAAGAAAACTCAGTTTTAATGTTTAAAATTGATGCAGTGTTGTTCACTTGAGCTCTGAACAAAGCTGAGATCTGTAAAAGTAAAGAACCCACCAGGCATATGATGCTAGACTCATATTTCTGTAGTCCAGTCGGCATTTATTGTGTGATGTAGTCAGCCACCTTTACTTCCCAGGAAATCTCCTTGTGCACAATTTAAGCTGAGCTGACCCTGGAAGTCTTTGTTAATTTTCGTTTGTTTCAAATCTGACTTGATGTGGATTCGAACATAGACCTTTTGGCCCGCAGGTGACCGTCTAACCCAGCGGTTCTCAATCTGCTGGTCGTGACCCTTTGTTGGGTCGAATGACCCTTTCACAGGATCACCTAAGACCATCAGAAAACATATACATTGAAGTAGAAGGAAAATAAATGTGTGGGGGGGGGGGGGGTCGCCACAACATGAGGGAACTGTATTAAAGGGTCATGGCATTAGGAAAGTTGAGAGCCATTGATTTAGCCTGTTGAGTCAGTTATAGAAGTAACTTATGACTCTGTGGTGTTTCTGTAGCTTCAGAGTTCTTGAACAATGTGGTCGTCTACCCTTGCCTTCCCCAGCTCCAAATGAGGACACTCTTGGTCCTGAAGGGATGGAGAAGTTCTGTGAAGACATCGGTGTGGAACCAGAAAATGTAAGTTTACTCATAATTCTTCTTCTACCTTTTGTCTTCTACAAGGCTGTCAGGCATTCTCTAAAATATCTTCCTTTGCTATCTCTTGTGGTTCCTTAAATTTGTTCCTTTTGTTCTCACTGTGCCTATGATTCTGTTCTCCTTATGATTGTTTTGATTGTTTTCTGCTTCCATTGATTCAGGTTCTTCACTCTGTACAGCCTGCAGAATTGAGTACTAATAATGACTTTAATGTTAGAGATATAATATTGGAATACCCCGGACCAAGGATAAACATAATTCTCAGATTTTGCAAGATCTGAACATTGTAGAGAACTGGCTCAAAAATAGCACCCAGTCTTGGTCCTATCTTGGAAACTGAAATACTTTGACCAGATCTTCTTCTTCTTATACTCCTCCTTCTTCTTCATGTTCACTGGCTGTAAGCTCTGACAGAAAGTTCTGGTTGTTTGTCCACATCTGCGCTGTAGTCTTGTTCCAGAACTAGTTTTGCATGCTCATCTATTTTGCAAATTTGGATTATTTGTGTGCACACTGTTGAATCCTCGCTTCTCAGGCAGATGCACTCCAACTTTGAAGAAAATACCCTTAATTAGTCGACTTTTGCATGCTTGTTAGGGAGCAGTGAATCTGTTCTCCCCTCCCCCTCCTTTCCCTCATTGGAGCCACGGAACCCACTGGAGGACTTGACCAAATTAAACTCAGCAATTGTTTAGAAAGAATGGTAATGGAAAGCAGGGTTTTGAGAAGAAGAGGTAGAAGCTGAACACAGGACGCAGAGACAAATCAGGCACTAAAATTTAAACGAGGCAGGGGTTGACCAGTACAAAGGTAGTCATAGGATATTAGTGACAACTCGCACATGAAAATATGTGGAACAGGCAGACTGACAAAGGGACAGAATATATTTCAATCACAGTGTGATGAGAGGTATATTTTGCAAAGGACTTGCTATAGAATGATGAGACAAGAGTTTTTTTTAACTTTCAAATTGATCTTGGCTCCTAGGACGACCTAGCCTATAATTTGGTCAGTTAATTTCTGGGGAAGTAAAGATGGTCAACATGATACTAATTACATCACCTGTCGAGTTCTAATTGGTCTCTAAAAGTATACATCTAACATCATACTATTGAGGAGTGTCTGATGGGAAAAGGACTCTTTACTTACTCATATGATGATGATTAATGTCCATGATAAAGTGGTCAAACAGTTTCCTTCCTGCCCTGAGTCATGGGCTAGTTTTCAGACTCCCTATTTGGTTCGCAAGTGCAATTTTGGTCTATCTGGAAATTGTCCATGGAGCTTCAGAGTTTGTGCTTTGTGTGGCATGTTTAGTACTTGGCCAGCTAATTTGTGAAGAGAGAGAGGAAGCCAAGTGGGATAATATCTGATTTTTATGTACAGTACACCGTGTTAGTGGATGTCTGTGGCTTAGGCATTGCAAACTGCTTCATAAAGCCGGGTAGCCGGCTTCGATCCCAGCTGCTGACGTTTTCTCTTGTGCTGGTTTCCACAGTGGTACTGAGAGCAAATCAATCTGAAAGCAGTGGCAAACTACTGAATTTAAAATTTGCCTAGAAAAACCACAACAGCCAAAAAATGCTGGGGTTGGTTCTGCAATGTCGTGTAAAGGATACACAACTAACTAACAACATGTAAGCATATTCCAGTGAATCAGGAAGTAAGGAAAAGACACTGGTGCTGTGTAGGACACATGTAGAGAAACCCTGAGAACAGTATAACTAGAAGTGCTTTACATGGGAACCCACATGGGGCATAGAAATAAGGGCAAACTAAAAACACACAGAGAAGGGAGCTAGAGAATGAAGTTAAAAAAATAGGGTGAACATAAGGTAAACTGGATGCAATAGCAAAGGGTAAGATGACTTGGCGTGTGTTGTTTGAGAGCCTATGGTCTATTGGGGATTAAAGGGCAGAGGACATTGTGTGAAATACATGTTGCATTTTGTAGAAGTTATCTAGATCTACATGAGTAACCACTCGTTAACAAAACAACGTCATGTGTGTCGCTTTAAAACAACCGTAGCAACCCTTGCATTAAAATATTTTGTGTATATTTGAGCCTAAGGAACTGATTTTTATGCTTTTTTTTAATATTGGTCTAATTCTGTAGCAGGCACCTGATGAGGTGCATTAAAATTGATTTGGGTTTAACTGTGCAATTAGTTTTTCTAATGCTTTGGATAAACAAATATTTAGATTACTCATTTTGACCAGTTGTTATTATTTCTAGATTGTCATGCTAGCTCTTGCATATAAACTCGGTGCCAAAAATATGGGATTTTTTACATTTGATGAGTGGATGAAAGGCATGACAGAGTTATGGTGAGTACGTTTTTTCATTAATTAAAAAAAAGGCTATCCGAATAACGGTCCCTAATTATCGAGGCGGAAAATATACCCTAACAGGGCCTCAATTGCGACATATCTGTGGTCTTAAATTGCGCACTTCCGTCGTCTTGAATTGCGCACTTCTGTTGACTTCTGCCACCGCCGAGAGTATCCCCCACGCAGCGTGGATTGAGGCTAAACTAGATGACTTGGACTCACGAGGAGCAGCTACCTCATCTTCTGAAGCTTCTTTTATTTTATTTGCTCATGAGTCCTAGCCATCTAGTTTAGCCCCAATCCATGCCGCGCGAGGGGCTTGGGGGATACTCTCGGCGGTGGCGGAAATTCGCAATTTGGCGGTGGCGTTATAATCCCTGGAAGTGCGCAATTGATACTTGAGTGAGGCCCTGTTAAGGTATATTTTCCGCCTCAATAATTTGGGACCGTTATTCGGAGGATAGCCCAAAAAAAATCTCTAAGCAGAGTTGTTCCCTAGAAAAAAAGGTGTGGGGAAACAAAACAAAAGTATTTGAAAAAATAATATTTATATGCAAGGTTGTTCCCTAGGAAAAAAAACTGGTGAGGGAAACAAAAAAAGTATTTGAAAAACAATATTTGTAAGCAGGGTTGTTCCTTAGAAAAAAAAAGGTGAGGGAAACAAAACAGATTATTTAAAAAAAAAAACTTTTAAGCAGGGTTGTTCCCAAGAAAAAACAGGTGAGTGAAACAAAACAAAGTGTTCCTTAGGAAAAGAAGATGAGGTAAACAATATAAAGTATTTGAAATAAAAAAAAAGATGCTGATATTCACCACAAGGTGTCTGTTACAGGAGTGCTGAAAAAATTAATGCCTGAGACAAAGGTGCTGGTACCGCATACTGCCAGAAAAAAAGTCCTTGTTATTTGTTTGAATTTCAAATAGGTAACAGGAAAAGTTCTGGGAAGTAAAGATGATTAGATTGTATTGACCACGTTGTGCTTTAAATGCCAGCTTCGCTGTTTTGATGCCCCAACGTAGAGAAGACAAGAATAGCCCCACTGCCTCCTCTAACAAGTATATCGTAAGAGTCAACTGGTAATCTGGTAATTTTAATTTCAGCTTCATAGCAAACGGATCACCCCATCTTTGCTCCGCTCCTGTGCCAACGAAAAACACACAGAATGTTTATCACAGTCCCTTGTGGAAAGCCAAACTACTGTGTCAGCAAATCGCCCCAACAACGACCTGACTGCCTTCATTAACGACTGTTCACCCAACAGCCATGCAGTTCTTTGGCACGAAGGAGACACCTTGAACTTGGGTTTGGACTGCCGAAGAGTCAACTAATTGGTGGCTTCCTTCAAAGTTTAAATGCATCTGCCTGAACGGTTGGGAGCCAACGGTCTGCATAAAAATAAACCAGATCTGTAAAACGGATGTGCACGCAACACTCAGTCTCTGGAACAAAACTTAAATCTAGAGCTGACAAAAAACCAGAACTTTCCACTGCAGTTTACCGGTAAGCGCAAAGAAGAAGAAGAATTCTCAGACCTTGATGATTGAGTTTAACATGTATCCCTTGCCAGATTATTTATTAGTTTCAAACTACTTCACTACAGATCTGACTCCACAGAGAAACTCCAAAATAAAATGGAATACCTCAGGTCCTTAATTAATGATCCAGCTGCCTTCAAGAACATCTACAGGTTTGCCTTTGACTTTGCAAGGGTAAGCTGGGATTAGAAGTCACCTTTTCTTTTCATAAATGTAAGTTAATAAAAAAGATAAGCTTATTTAAAAAACAAACATGAATGTAAATATAAAAAAAGCATGTTTATAAAAAGATAAGTTTATAAAATTAAAAAGATAAGTTTAATTTAAATTTAAAAAAAAAAGGATATTTAGAAGGTCGTTTTTTGAAACACTTCAGCCAAATAAAATGCCATCATGGATTGGAGAGGACAGTGGTGGAGGATTGGGTTATGAGAGGAAGGGCAGGGGTTGACCAGCACCTAGGTGGACACAGGATATTGATGACTCTGGATTTAAAAGCTCTCTGGGCACTTCACACATTGGGGTAAAAAGAAATGAAAGAACACAGACTAGCCCTGCCTGCAGTGAGTGGTTAGTGGAGGAAAAAGCAGGGATTTTTTCTAGAAAAAAGTTGCTCAACATGAAGTATCTAAATCAAGGTTCCAGAACTCACTAAAAATAAGAAATGTTTTGACAATAAGTAGTCTTTGTAGTATATGTAAACTAGAGTTTATAGGTATGTCTGTTACCATATATTTATTGTATATGTAATTCTAAAATGCATATTGTTACACTTGTTTCCGCCTTGCCCTTTGATTCACTTTAGGACAAAGATCAGAGATGTTTGGATATGGACACGGCTAAAGCCATGCTTTCATTGGTGCTCGGCAAGAACTGGTCTCTATTCTCTCATTTTCATCAATTTTTGGAGGTATGTTTCTCATTGACCTTGCAACAGATTTATTAAGTTACTGTTCTTACACATAAATATCGACTTTATTGCGCTGGGTTTAATCCTGTATGGCTTTGTCCTTCTCTGCAGAACAGCGAGCCAATTACTGAATGTCACTCACAGCATGAAAATCATTGCTCCAGCAACAATCTCTGTAAGGCAGCTATGAAAGAAACAGTTTGATGTGTGTTTACAACCAGTGTGTTTACAACCAGTATGCTACTAGAGCAGTGGTTTTTATAATTTTTCAGGTGGTATATGGCAAGATCCCTTTCCTACCCTCCCTCCCAACTTCAAAAATAATGTGATTGAAAGTGGGCGAAAAAATTTGTTTTAATATAACAGATATTATAAGTACAAATACACTTTCAAAATTGCTTGATGTGCCTAGATTTATAATTGCGGCTATCCTTCGAATAACGGCCACATATTATGGCGGCCAAAAACAGGGCCTAAGTAATGTGTAAATTGCGGACTTCCGGCGACTATACCGCGACCGCCGAGAGTATCTCTCACGTCGCTACGCGTGGCATGGATTGGGGCTAAACTAGATAGCTGGGACTCACGAGCAAAGCTGCAGGAGATGCGGAGGCTGCTGCTTGTGAGTCCCAGCCATCTAGTTTAGCCCTAATCCACGCCGCATGTAGCGGCGTGGGAGATACTCTCGGTGGTGGCAGTAGTCGCCGGAAGTGCGCAATTTAAGTCGCCGGAAGTCTGCAATTTACATGTGACTGAGGCCCTGTTAGTGTGCTTTTGTGGCCGCCATCAAATGTGGCCGTTATTCGGAGGATATCCAAACTACTGTACTAGAGCAGTTAATGTCTACACCTTATGACATTTGCCACAGGAAGTGGAACATCTATGGATATGCATGGTGTGCTATAATGTTAATTTCTGAAATCAATTGATGTTCGGCTTTTCAGATGTTTTCAGCAAAGCAGGTACAACAAAATAAGCAAAATAACTAATGTTTGATGTATTTTTGTAATATGTACTTTCAGAAAAGCTTTCCAGGATAATTAATGCTATGTTTAAATGTACTTTCAGAAAAGCAAGTACAAAGAAATCCAGGATCAATAATATTATGTTTAGTATGCACTTCCAGCAAAGCAAGTACACAGCCATCCATGATAATTGCTATGTATAATATGTACTTTCAGCAAAGCAAGTACAAAGCAATAAATAAGGACCAGTGGTGTAGTATTCTGGAGTTCAGCAGATCAGTACGGCCCAACCTGGTCAACTATGATGAAGATGGAGCATGTAAGTGGGGCATAGTCGTCATCCTCCTCCTTGCCATTATGCATAAGAAAAGGTACACAATCTATTCTGTACTATCCTTTCAATATCATGAATGGAATCCAGTCCAGATCTGTTACCTCTCTTTGCAGCCTTTGTCTTAGGGTTTCTTTTAAATGTCATTCCATTTGTTTCTCATTTCAATACCTGTTTTGGTGATTCTCTGACCATTTCTCAGGATGTGCCCAATACATTGCCATTTTTTTGTCTCATATGTATATATGCTGTTTATAATGAAACAATTTTGGTGTATACTACAGAAGCCCTTTGGCCGGGGGGGGGGGGGGGGGGGGGGGGGTGTTGAGCTGACCGGCTATCCTCCGAACAACAGTCCCAAATTATCAAGGCAAAAAAAACCTACCCTAACAGGGCCTCAGTCATATGTAAATTGTGGACTTTTTTCCGGCAAATTTACTGCATACTTTGGGGAACACTCCTTCGAATAACGGTCCCAAATCATTGAGGGTGTCAACAGCTCCGACAATGAGTGCTAGTTTTAACTTCTCCACTGGACCCTAGGTTTAGGGTTAGGGCTAGGAGTATTGCAGTTACGACACCGCCACCAGAATCTGTCACAACAGTGGAACCGCGACACTATCGATTGAAGGGTTATGGATGGAACTTAGGGGACGTGACGTTACCATGGCGGCACTAGTCGCGTGTTGTTTACTGAATATTTAGCGCAGTTTCCTGGTGGCATAGTCACAAACATTGAGGCCCTGTTGAGGATTTTTTTTTTAGTCTTGATATTTTGGGACCCATATTCGGAGGATAGCTGACTGAATCATTGCCGGCCACTTCACTCTTTCTGTCCCAAACAGCGCACTACATGTGACGGCACAAGTCAAAATGTGATTATGCTTGTAGGTGATATGTTTAGACAGGCCATAGTAAAACACTAAACAACACTACTTTAAGTGTTGTGTTTTTAGCTCCTGTGGATGTAGTATTCTTCATCTTCTGCCTTTCTAGCCCCCAATGAAGCATAGGCCCTCAACCAACTCACGCCAAGTTGTTCTATCCTTTGCTACCGCATGCAGCTCTTCTCATCTTTTCAACTTCACTCTCTAGTTTCCTTCTCAATATGTTTTGGTCTTTGTTTATTCCTCTGCACCCGAGGGTTCCAGGGCAGAGACTTTCTAGTTATATTGTTCTCAGGTTTTCTCAAAGTGTGTCCTATCCAACACCAGCCTCATTTCTTCACCTCTTGGTTCCCTGGAACTTGCTTAGTTATCTCCCAGATCTCTACATTAGTGATGTTTATGCCCATGATTTGTTTTAGTGCCATTGTTGTCTTATTTTGGCATCATCTATGACCTTCTGAGACCCGTAAAAACTAATTAGAGTTTTGCTGAAATCCAATGTATTGGGCAGAAAAGCGCAGATATTGCAGCCAAGCGGTAAACCACAATACACCAAGACAACCGCCCTTTACAGGGTGACTGAAGAAGAAGACTAGAACCTTAGGACAAGGTTGTCATGTCATGACTGGCTGCTCCCTCTCCCTCTCTTACTGTGATGGTTGCACCTGGTAATAATTTGCACTCATAATCCCAGTAATTAGTCTTTTAAACAGATTATGACTTTCATTTTTACACCTGACTCTGTTTTCTCCACTGTTTGCATCTTTCAGGGGTCCATAATTTTGTCATAAGACACAATGATGTTCTTATCGAAGGATTAATATAATATCCCTTTGTGTTTGTACTTCGCAGGGCCAGTAATGCTTGATGAGTTTGTAGAGTGGTTAAGGAAGCAACGAGGAATCCACAGTAATGAAACCACAGTTTGAGATTTGTCCACATGCATGTGTTTTTGACCACTACTGGTGTAATCGGCTGCTGATTGTATGCATGACAATAATCAACAAATGCAAATGGAGAAAGGAAAAGCTTGAGAACAAGATACTCTTATCTAGTTACTTTTTGCTGAAACTTTTTTTTTTTTAAATTTGTTTTATACCAGTCCCTGTTAAGTGAGATCATGTTTATTAATTTGTTTTATACCAGTCACATATAAGCAAGGTCATTCTTCAGTTTGTTTTATACCAAATCACGCCTAAGTGAGGTCATTTTCAATTTGTTTTATACCAGACTCTTTAAAGTTAGATCATCCCTATCTTCCCTCTACACGACCAAAATACTTTCAGTGTTTTAACATTACATCTCGGGCTGAGGCAGATGGGTATAAAGTAACAACAGTTGTGGCAGCATAGTAGCTCGACGCTCACCTGCCAGCTAGATGGTCTTCAGTTCAAATCCGCACTAAGGCAGATGTTTCTTCAAAACTGACCTTGACTGCCATGTTGACCCAGCCTACAATGGGTACCAGCTAATGTCCTGGCGAGTAAGGATAGCTCAGCATCATACTGGCCACCTTTACTTCCCATAACATTTTCTGGTACTTATCTTTAGCTGAGCCAACCTAACAGCTAAGGTCAGTTACAACAGGATTTGTACCGGTGTAGATTTGATCCCAAGACCATTGGGGCTCGCAAGCTAGCATCCAGCCAGTGAGAGTTAAAGTACTAGGCGGTTAGGGCAGTAATTAAATGGAAACATTTGATGGATCGGGTGGAGTTATGAGAAATTTTTGGTTTCTGTAATGAGCTGGAAAACTAAAAGTGTTTCTTGTCGGGATGGGAGGGGGGGGGGGGGGGGGTGTCAAAGGATTGGCTGATTGCCAAGAGGTGGTTGTTTAGAGATTGGCTGATCACCAAGAGATGCTGTTCAGTGATTGGCTGAAAGAATCACTAAGGTAAAGTAAAGATCCTTTTGCATGCATTTAGGCACATCGGGCATTTTTAAAGACCAATCGGCACTAGGAGGGTATTGTGGTCAGCATTATGCCGGCCGTCTTTACTTTTCCAGGACATACATCCTGGTACCCATTTTAGGCTGGATCGATCTGCGACGCTCCATACCATGATAAATCCACGCAGCTAGCAGTGGGTTTCGATTGTGGTACATTGGAATTACGAGTCAGACTCGCAATGCCTAAGCCATGGACGTCGCGAGAAAGAATCACTAAGAGGTAATTATTTTGTGACTGGCTGATCACAGGTAGAAGGTTTTCTAGTGATTGGCTGAAAGAATCACTAAATGGTAGTTGTTTTATGAATGGCTAATTACTTAGCGGTGGTTATCTCATAATTGGCTGATCATTAAGCAGTGGTTATCTCAATTTTAATGATTGGCTCATCACTAAGAGAGATTTCTGCAGCCTCAGTAGTCTCTAAAAAGATTATGGCCAAGGCCTAGATATTTTCCATGGTGCAACTTTCATATTACCTTCCAAAACCAGTGAGAAGTATTGTTAGAACTGCTAGTTGTGGAAATCAAATCACCATATGTTGAGGATGTTGAAACTGTTTTCCTAGCCTCATTATTATAAGAGTGAGTTATGAACTATACAACTTGTCTTTGGCAACAAGAAACACATAGATAGAATTTATGGTCTGCAGTGTTTAGATGTTCAGCACATGACATTATTTTGTTTTGTTAAAGTGCCGGTCTGTTGATATTGAGTAAAAAAATAAAATGTTCTTCCGTCTATCCAGGTCATGAATATATGTATTTTGAACCTGCGTATGCATATGATGAACAATTCATAAATTGTTTCTGATATCACATATAGCGTTTTTGTATTTATTAATCACATGCACAGGAAAATTTTTAATTATAGTATACTAAGATTGTCTCATAATACCATGTACTGGGTCAGCAGTTGTTGCGGACTGTCTGATCAGCATTCTCCACATCTATCAGTGTCGGTCAGATGCCACAGACTTGCCTGGCTGACTGAATCTGATCAGCATTCTCCACATCTATCAGTGTCAGTCAGATGCGACAGACCTGCCTGAATCTGATTAGCATTCTCCACATCTGTCGGTGTCGGTCAGATGCGACAGACCTGCCTGGCTGACTGAATCAGATCAGCATTTCCCACATCTGTCGGTGTCGGTCAGATGCATCAGACCTGCCTGGCTGACTGAATCAGATCAGCATTCTCCACATCTTTCAGTGTCGGTCAGATGCAACAGACCTGCCTGGCTGACTGAATCTGATCAGCATTCTCCACATCTGTCAGTGTCAGTCAGATGCGACAGACCTGCCTGAATCTGATTAGCATTCTCCACATCTTTCAGTGTCAGTCAGATGCGACAGACCTGCCTGAATCTGATCAGCATTCTCCACATCTGTCAGTGTCGGTCAGATGCAACAGACCTGCCTGGCTGACTGAATCTGATTAGCATTCTCCACATCTTTCAGTGTCGGTCAGATGCAACAGACCTGCCTGGCTGACTGAATCTGATCAGCATTCTCCACATCTATCAGTGTCAGTCAGATGCGACAGACCTGCCTGAATCTGATTAGCATTCTCCACATCTTTCAGTGTCGGTCAGATGCAACAGACCTGCCTGGCTGACTGAATCTGATTAGCATTCTCCACATCTTTCAGTGTCGGTCAGATGCAACAGACCTGCCTGGCTGACTGAATCTGATCAGCATTCTCCACATCTATCAGTGTCAGTCAGATGCGACAGACCTGCCTGAATCTGATTAGCATTCTCCACATCTGTCGGTGTCGGTCAGATGCATCAGACCTGCCTGGCTGACTGAATCAGATCAGCATTCTCCACATCTTTCAGTGTCGGTCAGATGCAACTGACCTGCCTGGCTGACTGAATCTGATCAGCATTCTCCACATCTATCAGTGTCAGTCAGATGCGACAGACCTGCCTGAATCTGATTAGCATTCTCCACATCTTTCAGTGTCAGTCAAGATGCAACAGACCTGCCTGGCTGTTGTTCTAAACTCTGGCAGAAAGTTCTGGTCATTCTTCCACTTCTGGACTTTTGTCTAGAACTTATTACAGATCTGGCTTCATTGTATACAGATTCATGGTTTCTCACCTTTTAGACTGACACACTTTGACTTTGGGGAGTCGCCCATTGGCAGAGCAGCTAGATGCTTGCCGTGAAAAGGAAGGTCGTGGGTTCACTCCCTGGCGAAGCCAGACTTTTTTTTTTCAAAAATGACCTTGGCTCCCAGGTTGACCCACCCTTGAGTGGGTACCAGGTGCAGTCCCGGGAAGTAAAGGCAGCCGTCATGATGCTGACCACATCACCCATCTTGTGCTGATTGGTCTATAAAAATATAGATCTAGCCCTATATGCCCTATACGTCTAAAGGCATGGAAAAGGGTCCTTTATTTTTATTTTGACTTTGAAGAAAACAGCCCTAATGAATTGACATGCTTGTTATGTGTGTGTGTGTGTGGGGTGGGGGGGTTATTATCTCCACCCCTCAATAAAAATGGGGTCCCGAGACCAACATGTAAAAGCCAAATTTTGTCTTTCTTGATCTGCCTCATCTCCCCTCTACTGTTCAGAACGCCCGTAGTGTTGTTCTGAAGAGACAGGAGATTTTGTTACTAGCCCATACCACCTCCACACATTCCATCTAAACATAAATCTCAACACATTTCACACACACACATATATATATATACAAACATAACATCTACACTCTTGTTTATACTAAAAAGCTGACATTGTTGAAAACAACAAAACTGCAATTAGGACAAATTCTTAGTTAAAAAAAGTTATCACAGATAAATAAACAAATTTTTTATCTTACTGAGCTGAGCAGAGTTGAATTAAGAACCAACATCACAGCACTCAGGAAATTCTCCCATAAGAGCTCTGTCCATGGTTCTGGTGATCAAGCGAGATGACAAAACATGATCGCCTGCGCTTATCAGCATGGCACATGATGATGATGCTTTCAATACTATTCTTTCTAAATCAGTTCATCACTGTAAAATTTTGGTAAAGAATTTAATTTCTGAGACAAATTTCTTATTTCTAAATGCAGACTGTTGGATTTCAGGCAGATGCATTCTGACTTAGACGGAAACACCCACGATTAGACGCTTCCTAGGACAGATTATTAGAGGGGGGAGGGGAGGGGCGGTGGGGCTAGTCTTTTCCTTCAAAAATGGGGCCTCCGAATCCACACAGAGGACACTGAAGTTCAAAAGCCCTGATTTTCTTCTTTCATCAACATCTGTTGCTGCGTTACATGTCACATAGGGCTCACAGTACATTTTCTTTTCTGTTCTATCCTGCGCAATTAATTTAATAACATGGATGGAATCCGGTCCCACACCCTTGGTCTCTCTCATCAATGTTCATCTTAGGGTTTCTTTTGGGCATCTCGTTTTCTCAGTCCATCTGTTTCCCCATTTATGTTCTTGTTTGTTGATTCTTTGTTCACTTCGCTTTAGGATGTGCCCCAAATATAGCCATCTTCTTTGTCTTATAAATGTTGCTACAAACTATTGTCCCTTAAAAATGTTTCTACAAACTGTTGTCCCTTATAAATGTTGCTACAAACTGTTGCCCCTTAAAAATGTTTCTACAAACTGTTGTCCCTTATAAATGTTGCAACAAACTGTTGTCCAAACATTTGTCTTATCTCTTTACCTTTTTAAATTATACAAGTCAAGAAAATAAATCTGGCGTCATACAAACTTGGACAGGATAACTGCCAACTTCTGGAGAGAACAATGAAGCAGAACTAATTTTATTTCTGTTTGACGGCGAAGGTGTGAATAAGTCAAAAGACTGGTCATCTAGCAGTGGTTCTGGGGCAGAACTAACAAGGATACCACCGATATGAGAAATACTGGGGCTGTTTGTATTGAAGGGTACTGGTTCAATACTAGTGGCTGTTATATTTTGAGTTGACAGCACACCCCTCCTGTCGGATTTCTCAGGCGTCTGT